AAATAGCAACAAAATACGCCGTTGGTCTCGGGTCGCTAGCTGCTTTAGCTCAAGAGATACGAAATATCTGGTGTCTTGGGGTCGGGGGTTGGTCATACCCCGATAAGGGTTGTGATTATGATGTACGCAGCATGCCTACCTTAAAGCAACAAAATACGCCGTTGTCTCGTGCCGCTAGCTGCTTTAGTTCACGAGATACGAAAAATCTGAAATATCTATGAATTAGGGTAGTTAGCCCCCCATGAAGGGGGGGGGGGGGGGAATTTTTTCATATCTAACCAGCTTATCTTACAGCAACAAAATATGCCGTTCATCTGATCTCTCTAACTGCTTTTGCCTCCGAGTTATCGCTGTGGTTTCGCTAGCGTAACTGGCGTTATTCCGAGAAATCATGGAGCAACAAAATCAATTCTTGCGGCACAAAATAGCAACAAATTAGCAACAAAATACTATATACCTTAGGATATGGACTTATGAAATTGTTACGCTAGGGTAATATACCTCATGTTTGGCCTAAAGACCAAAAATCATGAAAAATTGTTTCCTAGATTCGAAATTATATATAAATTACTGTAGAAACGAATATTATTGACGGACACCCCTGAGAAGTTCTATAAACCATAACACTGAACATATTAAAATAATAAAAAACAAATAAGTTATATAGTAAACTAGGGAAATCAAGCCAAGTACCGAAATTATGGATTAGATTCAGGTATATAGAGCATGTAGATTAACAGATACTTGCCTGTTTTTAAAGTTAATGCATAAGAGTAACTTTTAAAATCAGGTGTCATTTCAGGTTATAATAAGGTAGGTACTCTGTGACAGACAGAACTGTGTGATGATTGTGAATGAGCCACAGATTAGAGAGAATTTTTAACTCTCGTTAACCAAAGAAAGCTAAGAGATTTAGGTTCTATAGCCATATATTCAGTAACTTCATTATTTTTGTTATGTTTTTAAGATAACCATATTTTAGATTTTTAATGTATCACACATTATAATTTTATTTATTTATTAATTTATAGTCAGGGAACGTAGGCCCATAGATAGATACCTTAAAGTCTAACATATATACAGATTATAATGTGTTTATGGAGGTGTTTGGTGAAAAATGTACGGCAATAGACTTTATGATGTCGCCTACCATCTATATTAATAATGTCTGAGCACATTTGCATGTAGTGAAAATGTTAATATAGTTGTGGATATTAATACCACAGTGTAATAAAAAAATGATTTATTTTATCGATCTTTACAAAATAGATATGTTTTTATGTTATATAAACAACTTCGATCAGTCTTTGGCTGAATGTTACTACACCCATAGCCATTAAAAATGATTCGTATGTTTTCCAAACCGGAAAAATTAAAAGTCCTTTTTAAAGTAAATATATTATACAAAGGTGTCCGTTGAAATCTAATGACTGTAAATTAAATTATAAATTACGCCAAGAATTACCGTGTATGTCAATATTTTTTGTGCATTTGGGCCAATTTGAACAATCTCCTTTATCAATTATTGTTGTAAAATATTGCGGAAGACACATAGAATACGTCAATCAATATTTTTCCCATAAATATTTTACGGAAAATGTACACGGCTGTTTTGGAAATTAACTGTTAAAAACCAAGGGGTGATTGACCACTTCAGGTCTAACACTTGCAAAGTACGACATCACAAATGCATAGTTAAAATGAACCCGACATTTTTGTGTTGAAAAAGAAAACGGGGTATTAAAAATAGTATGAGGATAACACCTAGCAATACTCCATCACTCATAGCATAGTATACTGAAATGTCTTCTAGCGTAATGTCACGAGCGAGGCCGCCGCTGACGGCCGCCCACAGCGCCAAATACTTTTTGTGAGATTTACCTACTGTTCAACGTGACCTTGGACTAACGAGGCACCTCATCCTCATTACACCTCCATGCCGAAGATCCTTTGTTTTGTTCATAATAAGGCGACATCTAAATAAGGTCTCGTCTCATTACCGCCATTCAGCACATGTCAAAGTGTACGGTTTCAAGTTTAATTCCAGTATATCATAAATCATAAGTGTAATTATTTGGTAATTACCCCTGGTGTTCCATCCCGGCATCTATTGGCCACGCACGGTTATTTCTTAGCATCAGATGGACCGTATGCCATCCTTATAAAGAAACCGGACAAATACGAAAACAAACTTGTATATAATTTGCATAATAGCAAAAGCATAAGATTTTGGAAAACGGGTCAGTGCGTTGAAAATTTGTAAAGTATAAACAAATTCAACTAAGCGTACCAAAAATTATACTGACTTTCTTCAATATTTTATTGAATTCATGATTATAACTTACTAGTACCCAATTTTCCCATACACACTTTTCTTCCAGCCCCGCATCACCTTTACCCCTTCAAAGGATGATTTTCGGGTGAAAAACTATGTTTCGTTTGTCCTTTCTCGTCTCGAGAATCAAACTATCTTTAAGCCAAATTTCACCGGCGGTTTAAGCGTGTAGAGGTAACAGACAAACATTAAAATATAAAGGAGAGTATTGCACATTCTATTTTATACAAATGAGTAATCGAGTGCGCGCGCCGCACATACTATACTTGAACATGCTAAAATTAATGCTCGTATCACACGACCCGCGCTATGCGCGTGAGCACAAAGAGAAGCAATCTTTACCGGAAAACAATTAAAATCATGTAATGATTTCATAAAGAAAAACACAGTTTGCGTGCTGAAGCTAATTTTTTTTTGGCAGCAATTTGACAACAGACTGAGTGAGGTGAACAGCTAATTGTTTCAGATTCACAATCAAAAGTTCTCTCGTAAACAAATTAGTTACGAGTGACATCATTCCGGCTGATGAATGTTATAATTTAACATAGAAAATACCGGCATAATAAAAAGTAACTATGTTTCTTATTATCAATGATCTATACCCATAATTATTCAAAATAAGGTGCGCAGAACGTAGTACAAGTTTTCGTGAATAAAAAGGGACGAAGCAATTTCCACAACATTGAAACAAAGTAAAAGAAACTAAATTAGAATAACACCTAACAATATTTTCTGCAGTAAATAAAATATCAAATTACAACTGTATTCATAGTACAGACAGACAGTTTCGGATTTGTACGAAAAACAAATCGCGAAAAAATATACGATCATATATCACTGATGAGAATGAGGCTGCATACTATGTGCAGGTTAGATCAACGGCTATTCACCAGGCTATTTATAAACTAGTTGTTGTTGTAGTGTTTACTGACTTTATGTGGATGTGACATTTGGAAGGGATTAAACAGATGATGAAGCTATCATGAAATTTGATGGCATCTATGTTCAGTGGTTACCGTTTGTGTTATTTTATTTTATTTTATTAGGGTGTCGTACCAGTAAAACAATCACTTTTAATGTTTTTTTTACTTTATTTAATTTTATTTATTTTTAAGTCAAGAGCCAATGTAACAGGCACGCTGAGAAATATTCAGGTGTCTACTTATTTACTATGGGCTGTGGTGTCTTCCACACGGCGGCGCGGAGGCTTGTGGGTTTTGTCGTCCTTTGGATACGAAACCCTTTTTTTTTTACGCAGGTAAAAAATCTTTTTATAGACGACGGCGCCTTTAAGAGGCTCACTGGAACGAACGGACCTCACACCTGGCTCCCGCAAGTCTTACGAACCCCCCCAGTGGATTCCCACCTGGGATCCCGCAACTCTTACGGGCGCTTTACGGTATAATATCCGCTAAAAAAAGTCCAGCGAATACCTTCTGCCTGATGCGGTGCCGCGGGATCCCCATGGTGGGATTTCTCCGCGTCCCCGCACCTAGCAGCTTCCCGGCCTCGCCGGGGCTCCACGGCAGGGGTCTCCCGCGGTATTACGGGGACCCCGCAGACGTGCGCAGGTAGGCCCGCGCGTACGCGGGCTACTGCCCACCATACCGCCCCCCATCCGCTGCGGAGGGGACTCCTGGGCGTACCCGTCCAAGAACCCTCCGTCGCCCCCCCTTTGTAGGTCAGAACTACAAGTGGGGGGGCCGCCGTTCCTGGGAGAGGGGAGCGGGAGGGGAAGCGTAGTTCTTCCCGTCCCTCTCCCCCCTCCCGGTCGCCCACATCTCCCCGCGTCTTCTCCTAGGAGAAGAGGGGGTTGGATACGAAACCCTAGACAAGCACGCGAGTAACACTCCTGAATGTGATATGAATAGAAGTTGTGTCACGACAAAGCGTCACAACAAGCTATGTTGGCCACCAATTAAATTCATAATATTTCCTTGTCCGTCTTGTCTTGTTTTTTGAAGTAAAAGGAAAAAGAATCGACCTTGGCAAAAAGTATTAAATTTTCAGAATGCAAGCATAAACTGTAGAATACGATCTTTATCAAATTACTTGCAGAACTGAAACAATTGATTTAGCACAATACAACAGCTCCTTCTCGTATGACACAGAACAGGTAGACTTTATCTCTACAATAGCCCAGTAATCTTGCTATGATTTCACGTCGCAGAGTGTCTTTACGAAAATAGATAATCAGGTTTAGTTTTGTTTGATGCAGTTAACAAGAATGAAATACTTTTGATTGTGATCACTAGCTCTTATTGCAATGAAAATAAGACACACGGTAGGTATTAATAACCTCCAATATTTTCCATTCAAGAATTTCTAACAAGTCTGTAATAAATTAATCAATAAGCAAATCGAGGCAAAAAAAAAACAGAGGAAATTAATTTAATTAGGGTTGCACCAAAGCTCATCGTCGTATAATGATTGGCTTCTAGACTTCAAATTGTCAAGGTGAAGGTGACTGAAGTGAAATATTTCTTGTCGCATAGTTAGATTCAAACTGGGGAATCGCAAAAATAGCTGGTGCAGTAGTTTGACCTGCCGCACCCCAGCCTCTTTTAAAGGATACCGTGTTGCAGGACACTTTAAACCAAGTTAGTTAAAATACATAATGCATCAGTACGATAAATGCTTTTTGACAAGTGATGAAGAGACTTACCATTTCATCGTAGATGGTCTGCGTGTTAGCGGAGTTGTCATAAGCGGCATCGTAGGTGAATAGCTTGTCCTGTCCCTTGGGGTTGTACACCTGCACCGCGCCGCGCTCCGGCCACACCTTCACCACCTGTACGCCACCATTAGTTTACATATCATATTATATTACAGGTGTACAGAGCAATTCAAACTTTATGACAGTTGTAAAGTTACCGGCAATCGCAACGATGCGCAGGCGCAGGTTTCTGTTCGGTGACATCCTGCACGCGCCGACAGCACCCTACATTTCGTTTGCTGCGCCGAGATGTGCGCTAACTTTACAGCCGCCACGGAGTTTGAATCGCAGTATTCGCAATATACCCAAACACAATCCATCTGTATCCCAGAGCCAGTAGCGAATATAAGCCAGTTTATAGAGAAACGCAAAATTATCTGCTGCTCACCCTTAGGGGTTGACAAGTAATCAAAATGATCGCGCGCATAAGAGAAAATGTTAGTACTTGCTTGTATAAACTTTTGCTTATGTAATGCTTACGGCTGGCAGTTGTATTAAAAAGCAAATGTAATTATTTTAAAGATTCGAATATGAGAACCTTCTGTCTCATATCGAATATTCATATTCTGGGAGATAGAATTCGGGCACAGACTCGATCGGTTGATAGAAAGGTTGTTGTATTTTTTCCGAGTTAAATAAACAAAGTAAAGCATCTCAAGTATTATCATTTATAACTATTGCAAGCTACGTACCCAGGGCTTCCCTTCAGGATAAGCCCTACAGTACCTATGTAGATCGTTTAGTAATCGTAGCCAAACAGCGACAGCAAATGTTATCATTGATTATTGTTAACTTTCTTGTTGATGTGCTGACTATAATAGTTAAACTTCAAACTACTATAAACTGGCTTTTCCTTGCGTTGCAATTATAGTAAGCTAATACTGCTATGCTAACAGCAACAGGTGAACTCTGTGTAATATTCGGTTGCGGTTTTCAACGTAGTGTTTCGATCACAACACTATATTGACAATATTGCAATTCTATGAACAGATCTTCGATCATTAATGTTGATAGAGGGTACAGATGGCGAGAGTCGCGAGATTAAATAAATATTTCCAACACTCACACCAATTAGTCTAGCCCCAAAGTAAGCACTGTAGGCTTGTGTTATGGGATACTAGGATAACGGATAGAATACATATACTGATAAGTATATTTATATAAAACACCCTAATAAACATCCATGACTGGAGTATAAATGCTCGTATTCATCACACAAACACCTGCCCCCACCGGGATTCGAACCCGGGACCTCTCGAGTAGGCGACACCATGAAACCCGGCATACAAACCATTCAGCCACGGAGGTCGTCATGTCGTCAGATTATGGGAGATAAAGTTTTGAATTCAGAACCTTTACAAGTTAGTGCGATTAATGCTTTAAAAGGCTATTGCCAATATTTAAATATTTTAATTAAAGCATAAAACAGGTACTCCGGCGAGGTGTGAGACAGTCATGTTAGATACTTACATAAAATACCTAGTACCTACTGAATAAAATTTCCTCCTTCATGAAACTAATGAATACATTTCTAGTTTAGCACAAAAGAATATAAGCAGATTAATATAGTTTATGAAACCGCCGTTTGTGATTTATTTTATACTAGCTGACGCGGCGAACTTCGTACCGCCCAAAAGTTATAATTTGCAACAAAATAATATTGCGACTTTTCAAGTTGGATCAAACTGCAAACGGTGTACGATGGATAATCAAAAGAAATATTAACAAAACATAAGAAAGCCCGAGACATACTTTATGTAATATGCATTTGACATTAGACTTTAGCTACCAGCCTATATTCAGAATTATACTTCAACCAATGAATTTTAAATTTCAAGAGTCCATCACGTTTATACATTGATTTGTCCATGAAAAAAAAACATGACAAGCAGTAGAAAATATTACCCGTCATCTGCATCTCATCTCAATCCCTATTAAAATTAGGTAATATGCAAATTAATGCATATATCATTAATAATTACGAGCACATTAGTATGGCCGTCGCGTCGTGACTAACATCTAACATATCATTAACACTTAATTGTGTATCACTATCATTTACAATGGATAAATAAACATCAGCGGCGCGACGCCAGCGTACTTCCTACGAATGTTAAATGGTGTTATGGCCACGAGCAAGGGCCGATCGAATCGACTTTCTTAGCGTGAGGAACGTGAATGAGCCTCGACCGTCGACCATCACCACACTACGCTACCGCCACGAGCTTACGAGTGCTAGTCCTGTTGTCTACCATTGCAATATTATGAGCGTTACACCGATGCTTGCCAAATGTATGTAAACCTCAACCATGGGCATTAGGCACCTCGAATGCGAGGGCTACAATGTTTAATAAGCGTCTCCAATGCTGGCGCGTGCCATGACTAGTAGCGACCGTGTTAGTGCACCGTTTATCCAATTTGCAGCGCATTGTTAGAGGAGCGGTCAACGTTCAGACCTGTAAGGGGGCGTCAGACTTTTTATTCTCCGCTACAGTTTTTGCCGACAGCCGCTCGTACCATTTCTGTTCCGGCCGCTTCTTCACCTAGAGAACACGATCCGATGAGAATGACTGCAATATGAAAGTATCAAACATCTGGCAGATGATTCAACGTGCCGAGCGCGGATCACCTAAACCTGGCAACGCGTAACGCGACAGTAAAAAATGACTAATAATAAAAAAAAAATTTTTTATTAAAGACTTTTTTCTTTATGGAATTCAGTAAAAAAATAACGAGCAAATTTGAAACTCGGAAGATTCGCGAATACTGTATGTAAACCTAGATTCATTCATTATTTCTTGAGAAAGATTTTTCTTTAAGGAATTCAATAAAAAAAATAACGAGCAAAATCGAAAATACCTAGATTCGTTCATTATTTCTTTAGGAACAATCGGCAGTTTGCCAATTTTCTTTTTAATTCACTACTTTATGTCATAGTTTTATTAGTTATTTTTGTTCTGTGCGTAAATTGACGTTTGAAGAACGATATTGCGTGAATTGTGGGTACACACGTTAACATGCGCACGCGTCCCAGTTCGACCGAGACGGTGTTATGCAAATTACACGGTCGAGTACAAACAAACCGATTCATGACGGTTTATCATTTCAGCGCTACATATGTTATGCACCTCGTGTGTCGCATTAACATTAATTATCACTGTAATTTAGCATTGATTGAACGGATGCGGCTAAAAGGGCGCCGCGGGCGGTGGAAATGAATATCTTGTTGTATGCAGTATCAATATAAGTAAAAGAGTGTGTCTTGTCATGCTCGTCTACAGTTAGCTGGGCCAACTCTTACAAAAAATATATTACCTATTTATTTTCTTATCTGGTATGGTTTGTACTGTTTGTAGTTTAGTTTAACTCTGAGTGAAGAAACGCGCAGCCGTGCGTGTTAATAAGTGTAAAAAATTAATTTGAAAAGTTTTTAAACCAAACTAATTAGGAGTTAGTCGAGTCAATAGTATAGATCGGTACCTAGCCGGTGCTAACGGCTGGTTGTGTAAACTTGAAATCGGAAAAAGGCAACCACTAGTCAACCTTGAGGAAAGGCGATTTTCACCGCGGAAATGTACTGAAATGCGGCGGCTTGCTGAAACTGCAAACGTTAAGATTTCACTGTCTAATACAGAAACTCAAATAAATACGTAGAAAATCTTTCGCATGTACCTACTGAATCTCTTCTGCTAAATAACAACATTGTCGTGATTCCTTTCGGTTAGACCGTTATATGGACGAGCCAGAAGCTATTGTGATCTCGCGGCAGTTTTTGTCAATGATAATTCTTATTCGATATGTTTTTTCTGCCTTTCAATCAATCAAGCTCTTGTGGCAAGGAGTCATTTACTTTGAGCGTCCGAATTGAAAATGCGGAGGACGTGTTCTGCAAATTCACGAGATTTATATCTCATAAAAATTGCAGTTTTCTGAAATTATATGATATTAGAAGGAAAGACATATCGGTTAAATAAATATGCGGCGCCGGGTCGCCCGACTAAAAGGCCGCGCGGTTGTCCTGAGGATCTATGCCTAAATATGGTGTAGCCCAATATAGACATTACTCTTCACCTAGTTACTTGACACCAAACGACATGACTGAGTGACTGACATATTTGAAGAATGTTGCAATGACTTTTATGGCAAAGATCAATACAATACCAGCTCTGACTGAATGCTACATGCATTCTATAAAACTTGTAAACTAACGTTTATATAGGTAGGTATATTAATAATAAGATAACAAATATAACTATAACAATTTATTTTGTTATTTACCCATATAGAAGGCGGTAGCAAAAACACCTTCATAAATAACTTTTATAGTAAGTTTCTTTCCAAGGTGAATATCTTTGATACTATTTTACCTAATGTTATTTCATCATTGAATACATCTTGGTTTCAATTTCCTGGAAGTACAAGTTTTGTATGCAATCATACTGGTTGAAAGCTCTTTATGATGTTGGGATTAAAATAATTTATGTAATATTGAAAAATATAGAATTATATTACTAAATTATTTATATCTATGATCTAAGACACTTTCAGGCACTGTATGTAAGTCCGCACTACTTTAATAACAATTATGTTAGCCCTCATATCTGAGAAAATATTAAAAGTTGATTTTCTCCATTGATTTGATCTTCATCTGTAACCCAAATAATTAGCACATAATCAAATAATCAAACATAATAATAATCTGATAAAAGGTAATCTGCAATTCATGAAGGCCAACAATTATACAATTTTGAAGAGGTACTATCAAATACTAAGATACTTATAACAACAATAACTTGTTATTAAAAAACCAATATAAATTAAGCTACATGTTCTGCATTGGTAAATCAATTCGAAACCAAGAATCTATAGTCTATATATAGCCAAAGAATAATTTTGCAACTAACAATTCTGAATTAAACAGATTGTTAACTATTCAGTTAAAGTAACTTAATTTTCTCCTATACGTTAGATAAATAATTGTGTCTAGCATTTTATTTTGACAGCTAACTTTTCATACTTACATGTTTAAATGTTAAGTGGGTAATTGAATATTAAAATAAAATTTACCAGGAAAAACTAATCAAAGCATATTTTGTAACTCACAATCAAGTTACTGTTTAAACATGTAGCAAGTATTTTGTATTGTTTTACATCACGTTATTTATTAATGAGGCCTATTGTATGAGCTTGAATAAATGTCTAGTTATTTCAATACCTACATCCCTTTGCAACAACTTTCTAACTGATAATGGTGGTTAGTTGCTGGGGCATCAATTTAAGATAAATACTCACTAAATTACATTTATATTCAAATGAATAACCATAAACTGCAGATGAAATTCGATACCTATAGAATATCGCGCCATTAAAATTATATAATTTTCTATGAGACGGAAAGGAATATAAGTAAAATTTTAAATAAACAATGAAACCTAGATATTCAGCATAAGATAGAAGTCTACGCACCAAGTCTGCGCAGCCCTAACACCGGAGACAAACAATGTTTCGAGCGGAATCATACCTCATCGTATCCCTCTTTTTTCTCCTTATCTGAAAGCGGTCGACATCGAACCACCACTTTAACGCACTCGTTAAGTGCTGTCCGTGGTCGAGCTGACTTTTCCATGTTCCACCACCCCTATCCTCCTTGAAAACTGTCCAGACTCGCAAGTCACCGATATCGATCCATTCGGGGTGTATTCCTCGACATCACCTGTTTGAGTTTTTTCCTCGGGAATAACAAGGAAATCCAATATTAACACAGTATGATGAACAAAACTTCAACACGTTTATAAAAACCACAAGATAAAATACTATAAAAATAACAAAAAAAATAATCGCGTAATTATTTTTTTCGAGCTCGACAACAAACCAGCCTTCAACAACCGACGACTTTTTTCAACTGATTACTGATTTGTTTTTGATTGATGACGGCTGACTGACAGATAAGTACTGTGTTACCCACTATTGTAACTTTAACCTCCCACCTGGTTGGTTCAAAATACAAAAAGAAACCGCAAAATCATTCCCGTGCCATTATTAATACTAAATGAATAATCAACGGTCTAAAAACAAGATTTCACGATTTAAATAATGTTCTTAATATATTTTTTAAGCATTTTATTGCTAGATGTTCAAATCTAAAGAAAATTTTAAATTTTAACATCTATTAGTTAAATGCTTGTGGGTTATTATACCTACAATGCGAATAGATGGCGCTGCCTAGTAGCCTAGGAAAGGTTAAAGAAAATTCGACGTGGCCATCAGGGCGCATCGTTTCTATTAAAATAAATTTTCGGCATGGGTGTTATCCACGTTTTTGTGGAACATCCATTAGATAGTAACATTGGATTGATTTTTTTAAGATTCTTCTTTAAACACATGTAAGAAAAATGATACTAAGTTGTTACTGCCTTATAACATGGAACAAATACAAAGAGGAGGTGTTACTATGGGTTTACTCTAAGGAATCGACTGAAGCTTTTACAATGTATAAATTTGACGCCTTTTTTTTACATAAAGTTCATAAAAGCGTAATGACTCACACCCGCATTCCAAAATAAAAAAGCAACAAAACAAAAAAAAACTATAAAGCAGTTTCTTACATTGACCGTGTATTCTTTGCGTTCCTTTAAGGAAAAATAATACCAAAAATTAAAAAACATGACATGATTGTGTGTGATTGACATCGTCTCAGTGTTGCCAACTCTACGTCTTTTTACGTAGATCTACGTATTTTAGGCCTTTTCTGGAAACCTACTGTTCGGTGCATAACCGAACATTTATATTTTGCTTATTAATTATTTTGCAATACTTAACACCGTCACGGCGCCTGGCCTAATTTAGGTCATTAGCCGCGGTGCAAATATAAATTAGTGTAGATTTCGATGCATAAGCGAACGCACTCATTAACATACATTAGTGCCGATTCTAGCGTGATTCTCTAAACTTATAACTAAATTTAACATCAGTCTCTCCTTTTCATTCTGTATAGAGAATGACAAAGATGCACTGTTGTCAAATTTAAGTTTAGCTTTAGAGAATCATGCCAGAATCGACATCATTATTATAGTATTTTAAGAACATTTTGTGAACAAACAATAAACACGTAATTATTTTCGGTAACAACTTTATTATTTTAACATCCACTAAGCTCAGGCACTAACACCTACTAACTTAAGTCCCAGAATCTACGTATTTTCTTATTTTTTTTCAAATTTGTAAAATAACTTAATTCACTAGAATAAAAAAGAATATTTTATATTGAATATTTAAGAAGATGTATCTAAACACTCTTGCATCTTGTAGAAAAGGTACCCGTTATTGGTTTTGTTGACTAAATTAATGCTGGACGTAGGATTTGTGAAAGCAGAAACGACAAAACTCTTTGACTTAGTAGGGACATTCATAACCTTAAAAATTGTATTTTTAAACTTTTACTATTATCAATGAGTACCTACTCACATCGAATTGATCTTTGCAAAAAGAAAAGACTTTCAGTCGATAAAGTTACAGGATTTAGCAAGTTTTAAGCATATGTTCATGTGTAAGTATGTTTTTTCTCTTGGCAATTTAAACCATAACTTTTCTAGAGTCTTTTACCAAGTGTATCATGATAACTACTATATTTTTCATGTGATCTATTAGAAATCATGGTTTTATAATATTAACTAAGAAAGTTTATTTCCTACGTGCTTGCGAGTGTTTGTTTACAAATGTTTTGGCGCCATAGCATAGATAAGTCTATAGACTAAAGAGCGTTTTTGTATGTCTTCTAGGTAAAAAAAAAATTTTTTTTTCGTTCTGATAGAATAATTAATCACAATTTAAAACATAATTCCAAAAAGTGTCAACTAGCCCATTTAACAACAGTTTATCCTTGTCATTCTATATACAGAATGAAAAGGAGAGACTGATGTTAAATTAAGTTTTAAATTTAGAGAACCATCCAGAATCGGCACCCACCAGTGTCTGTGTCTGATGTTAATGTTTACCACAGCATGGTAAATGCTTCCAATGCAGCGACTTCTCCAAGAACTCTTCGTTCTATCTCCCGTTCTTAAACAAATTGTACAAAATACTCGTTTTATTCGGTTTCAAATAACTTCTTCATTTCACTCAGAAAAAAGTACGTAGATCTACTTATTTTATAGATAATAACGGGATAGGATAGTTTACTCATGTCGAATTGTATTAAATAAATGTTTATTTCTTAAAGTATTTAGTCTAAGGAACCTGAATATATCGATTTCACTTCATAAAAGCAGAAGATTGCTGTAGAAATTCAATTTTAAAAAATATTTTTTAGTCTATATTTTTTAAACACTAAAAACGCTGTTCGCCACATCCGCCATGATTTTGACGTCTCTTGTGGTAAACAACTAAATGTCATTCGCGTGTTACGGTAGGTGGATTCTTTCGTCTGACTAAATTTATCTTAAAACACTTTTAACTTTAGGAAAGAAAAAAACAGTAAACTTAGTTTTTTTTGACAAAACTAATTATGGATGCCGGCTTTGTGAAAGCAGAAAGCACAAATCTGCCAAGTATTGACGTATTGATGGTTGGTGAATTTGTTGCACTAAACCCCGATTTCTGCTCTGCGGAGCAGAGAAACGACAAGGCATCTATGTAAGTACAGTGCATTTAGTATTACAATGGTGCCAATTCTGGCGTGATTCTCTAAACTTAAAACTAAATTTAACATCAGTCTCTCCTTTTCATTCTGTATAGAGAATGACAAGGATATACTGCTGTCAAATTTAAGTTTAGGTTTAGAGAGTCATGCTAGAATCGACACCATAGTAGTAATAAACATAAAACAGATACAACATATGAATAAGTGTTATAAAGTTGCGTAGGTTAATTTCTTTCGGCACTTTAATCCACAACTATCCTGGAGTCTTTAAGGATGTGTTTTTATATTCTCGTACAATACAGTAATGATAACTACTTTATTTTTCGTGGTATTTATTAGAAATCATGTTTTTTTTATCATAAACTCAGTTAAAAGTAATTTTCTACGTGTTTACGAGTTTTTGTTTACCACAGTTCACGTCATAGCATAGATAATCTATAGACTAAAATGGCCGACAGCGTTTTTGTATGTCCATGAAAAGTCTATTTTAAAATTAAAGATCTGTAGCTTTCTAGGTTTAAAAAAAATACAATTCATTTTTTTCGGTCTAATAGAACATTTATGAACAATTTAAAACCTTTTTCCAAAAAGGGTCAACTAGCCTATTGTTACCATGTAATAGTAGTAATGAATTACTCCGTGATCATGGCGCTTGCAACAGTGCCGAAATATCGGAGACTCATAAAAAACAAGGTACATGGTAACAATCCCGTTAATATCTATAATGTTAGTGACCATGAAAGTTTAAAACAATATAGATCTACTTACTTTTCATATGCAAAATTTACCAATTCTACGTAATTTTCTCATCGGGCCTACGCCTTTTTCAAAATCCGAGTTGGCAACACTGCATCGTCTGTCAGTTCCGTCGGAGTTTTTGGCGGGCTTTTGAACGCACTAGGCGCGATTTTTGATTTTCTTTTCAAAAAGTTTTATTTTAAGTTTGTTTTCTGTATATATCTTTGTAAATAGTATTCATAATTCCTTAAAAGTGTAGATAAATGTATCATCATGCCGGACGGGCACGACCCGCCCGGCGGGACTGAAAAAAGAAAAACTCCAAATAGGACCGAAGTAGATCCAGGATCATCTGATGATTTTTATAAGCCTTTCATCAAAAGCGGATACAAAAGGTTGTTTCCTGAAAATGCGGTGAGTGCTAATTACAGTGTTTTCGTCGAAAGCTGTAAGGAGGATGAAAAGTTGGGTAACAATAATCCTATCGTCACGACCAATCTCTTCAAGAATGAAATTAAGGGCATATCTAATATAAGAAGAGTCAACCCGACCAAAATTTCAGTTACGTTCTCACAGCCTAATAATGCCAATAATTTTTTAAAAAACGAAGAATTTTTGAACAAACATAAATTCAGGGCATATATACCAGCTGCTATGGTGGAAACCATAGGAATACTGCGTTTTGTACCCACAAGCATCAGCAACGAAGAGTTATTCAAAAAACTAAGTTCTCCTTATGAAATAGTTGCAGTGCGCAGATTCTCTAAAAAGGAAAATGGTACTGTCAAAGTTTTTAAAACTGTAAGCCTAACTTTTCTCTCAAATGTACTTCCGGAGCATGTTTTCTTAGATTTGTTTCGCTTTAGAGTACACGAGTACAATGCACCTTTGCTGCAATGTTATAAATGCTTCAAATTTAATCATGGCGCTAAGATATGCAAATCTATTCAAATATGCTCCATATGTTCCGAAGAGCATCATTACTCACAATGTCCAGACAATACAGTTGTTAAATGTGTGAATTGTCAGGGTCCACACCTTTCAATATCAAGAGACTGTCCAATCAAAAAACAAAGAATGGAAGAAAAGAAGAACAAAGTATCTTATGCAAATGCTATATTATCTAATAAAAATAAAAATGATACTAATTTAACAACTGATTATCAAAATAAATTTCCTAAATTACCTATTACAAAAAAAAACATTACCATTGAAAAAAACACTGAACTCCAATTCTGTCCCCTCAACCGTTTTGACTTCTAACAGCGCAGCGGAAAAAGATAGTTTGCAAAAATTATCAAACGAAAAGATAATTGATGAAATAATTAACAATGATTTTATTCGTAAGGCTATTGTTGGCGCTTTGGTTGCCATAGGAAACGATGAGAGAGCTTTAACCAGTAATGTTATCCAAGAGATACTTATTAAAACTTTAAAAAAGATCAATAATGGATAAAAGTCACATACGAATATCTCAATATAATGTTGAAGGATTTATTAACAAAAAACCACTCCTCATCAATTTCCTGCAGGAAAATGATGTCGACATTTGTTTATTGAACGAAACCTGGTTAACAGAACGTAGTAGGTTGTCTATTCCGAATTATGATATAATCAACAAAATCTCTGTAGGTGGCAGAGGTGGAGTTTCAATTTTAATCAAAGATTCTTTTAAGTACTCTGTTCCTTCAATTCCTTTCTATGAAGAACTTCAGTCTGTGGCTGTTACAGTATATACATGTAATGGTGATATGTCTATTTTATGTGTTTATTGTCCTCCTCGGAAACAAGGGAGGTCAAACTTCCAATGTAATAAATTGAAAAAGATTATTAACGATCTTCATAAGCCAATACTGGTCTCTGGCGATTTTAATGCGCATCACGTAGCATTTGGTTGCCTTTCGTGTAACAGACGAGGAAACGAAATTTACAATATGTTTGATGAATGTGATCTTTGCATTCTGAATTCTGGCTCTCCAACCACTGTTGGCCACATAGGTCAAAATCCTTCAGCAATAGATGTCTCTTGTATAAGTCCTTCTTTAGCTCCATTGTGTGACTGGAGTGTACACTCAGACCCTATGGGCAGCTATCATTACCCAACAGTTATAGATATTCATATTTCAATAGTAAAATATGAAATAGGTGAACCCACTGAGCGGTTTCTTTATAACAAAGCTAACTGGGACAGTTTTTATAATGACAGTGAATCTGCATTCGCTGATATCATTATTGATCTGAATAATCCATTGAATATATACAATGACTTTTGTAATATTTTAAATATATTAAAAAACAAACATGTACCCAAGTTGAAAAAAAGCACTCGACATCTTATAAAGAAACCTGTTCCATGGTGGGATGATAGCTGTAAAGAAATTGTGATCAAATGTAAACGTGCATTAAATTATTATAGGTCTCATCCAACTTTGGAAAATTATATAGAATATAAAAAAACAGATGCCCTTAAAAAAAGACTACTTAGTGAAAAGAAAAAGAACAGCTGGTTAGAATTATGTGAATCCTTTAATAGATACACTCCAGTTAGCACTATATGGAATTACATTAGACGATTCAAAAGAGTTTCTTGTTCTAAGAAGCCAAAAAATTCAGAATGGATTCCTTCCTTTTTCAATAAATATGCACCTGTTACTCCACCTGAAAAAGAAATTAATTTAAATACTTTAAAGTCGTCTTTTACCAGTAATGGCAGTCCTAAAGCTTACTTCCTTATAGAACCTTTTTCTTGGCATGAGTTTATAACATCTTTAGAATCCAGAAAAGATACCACTCCTGGTCTTGATGATATCAGATATACCCTTATTAAAAAATTACATATAAATGCACAGAAGAAACTACTACTAATATTCAATTTACTTTGGAATCATGATATAATACCACCTTCTTGGAAAACCCAATGTGTCATCCCAATATTGAAACCTGATAAACCAATAGAGGATAGTGATTCTTATAGACCCATCTCATTATCTTCTTGCATAGGTAAGATATTTGAAAACATTATAAAACTCAGATTAGATTATTATATAGAACAAAACAATATATTACCTGCAGAACAGTTTGGTTTTCGCAAAGGTCGCAGTGCCTCTGAAAGTTTTACTTCATTGATATCAGACATAAGAACTTCATTTCTTCAACATTCTGTGACTGTCTGTGCATTTCTTGACATCAAGGGTGCATTTGATAACGTTAACCCAGCTGTTATGGTACAAGTACTGCATGATGTAGGCATTCCGGGCAAACTCTGTAAATGGGTACACAATTTCTTATATGAGAGGCTCATGTACATAAAGCACAATAATATTCTTCATGGTCCAAGATATGTATACAAAGGTACCATGCAGAGGGCCACTATCTCTCCCCTTTTGTATAATATTTATACTTGTCAACTCAAGCAATTTTTAAAGGAGGAAAATGTACATTTTCTGCAATTTGCAGATGACCTAGTTGTATATACTGTAAATAATAATGTAATTATAGCTGTAAATAAACTAAATAAGGCATTATCTGAAATATATAATTATTATTTTAATAGACTTAAACTAGAAATAAGTAGCAGTAAAAGTTCTGCTATGATTTTCTCTAAGAAATGTATTGATATACCTGTTAATAGTCACATTATATATAATAGTTGTCCTCTACCATGGGTACAAACCCACAAATTTCTTGGTATATGTTTGGATCCAAAATTAAACTTTCAAAGCCATTTTGACAAAATCATTAAGTCTGCTACACATGGGTTAAATATACTTAGATCATTAGCAGGTGTACATTGGGGAGCTGATCCAAAAATATTGTCAATGTTGTATAAAAGCCTAATAAGAAGCCACTTTGATTATAGTTCTGTAGCTTACATGAATGCAGGTACAAGTTTATTAAAAAAACTAGACATTCTTCAGAATAGGGCACTTCGAATTATAACAGGTGCAATGTGCTCTACACCTATTCATGTAATGCAAGCTGAAAGTTGCATCCCACCTCTTATACTACGTCGTTTAAAATTAGCTGAAAGATTTTGTATTAAAAATGTATCATCTAAAATGTCATTTATTGTAGGTAAACTATTGCCCCTAGAGAGATTTAAGAATATGCAAAATGTTTCTTACCATAACACAGATCTACTTAAATCTGGTAATACTCCAGAATTGGTGGCAATAGCAGTACATATACATAAGACATTTGAAAATTTATATATAAACAGTCCTTGGCCTTTGTACCAAATTCCTTATAATGCCTTGTTTAATTGTAACTTTATCTTAGAAGATGACATAATTCGAACCAATGCTGAATTAATGCAATTTTTAGAGAACAAATCCTTTTACAGAATTTACACTGATGGATCCAAGTCTAAAGATAGAGTAACATCAGCTTACTATGATGTTCAGTTAAATTTTAGTAAGTGTATATTGATTCCCAGTGATTGTAGTATATATACAGCGGAATGTAATGCTATCTATCAGGCCTTGTTATATATCTTAGGTTTAGAACATAACAATAATTTTCTTATTCTTTCTGACTCTCAGAGTGTATTAAAATCCTTTAGAAATAGTTATAGATATGATGTAAATTATTTAGTGTTATTTATTAAGCATTTATTGTATAACCTAAAAGAATCTGGCAAGAGAGTGCAATTTATGTGGGTACCTGCGCATTGTGGCATTACTGGTAACGAAAGAGTTGACGAAGCTGCACGAAGTACACAAGTGAAGACCACTCTTTGTCTATGAAGGTTCCATTTACAGATTTTAAAGCCCTGTGTCATCATAACCTGGCATTACTGTGGAGAAAACATTGGGATGAAATTAGCAAAGAAAAAGGACAGTGGTATCAAAAGATCCAAGGAAGCCCGCCCGCCCAACCTTGGTGGAATAACAAAATGGTGCAATCTAGGAAATTCGTTACTACAATAAACAGGCTGAGATTTGGTCATGGGCAATTTCGCACTCACCTGCATAGACTGAAGATGACAGATGATCCAAAGTGTCCCCACTGCCAAGAAAATGAAGACCTACAGCACATAATTTTTGAATGTAGACGGTACGGACTACAGCGTCTAATACTTGTTGCTGAACTTGAAGCAATCGATAAGGTCGTCCCTAATACGTTGCAAGACTTACTTAACGATCTCAAGTATTTCAAGCCACTATTCAAATTCATCGTAAATACTGTAGACAAAATATAACAAGGAAGAGAAACAGTTTACTGTGGAAGTGAAAATTATGATGTGATGTGATAAACTCAATGACATTCTGTTATACGTGACAGTTGTTTTGTTTACTTTGTTTTTGACATGTTCAACGTTTGGCTTAAAAAGGACTAGAATCCAGAGCCGTAAAACATATTAATAAAAAAAAAAAAAATGTCAGTTCCGTCGGAGTTTTTGGCGGGATTTCATCGAGTGCGGTTGGCGTCTTATTTTAATTATTCTTAAATTCGTTCATAGTGGATATTGTGGAATAAAATTGGTGTGGTTTTGTGTTACAACCGTCTGCGTAACTGAAGAATTAGTGGAATCGTTAAAATATACGCTATTCCGGTCAAGTGGACGTAAGAATTTTATTGTAGTGTTGACTACCTCACAGAAGCTTATCGAAAAAGCCAATTCGATACATTTCGTGCCAAATACTCCAAGAAACATTAGAATGCGTCACACCGACATTCTAATGTAAAAACAAAAAAAAGATTAATTTAATTAAAGACTAGGCTGTATGGACATTGTTCCCTTTGCCTTCCCTAAAACGGGAGAACTTCAACAAAAAAAAATGTCAGTTCCGTCACTATTAGATATAGAGTAACACTTTTTTGTTGTTGCCCTGTTGCTGTATCGTATCTGTGCAAAAATCGTAATTTATTTAACTGAACAGTTTAATACAACCTTTGCAATGACTACAAATCTTAGCATTAATCTTAAGCGAGCAAGCAAAGTATACCACGAGGGGGTTAGTAGTATTGGGTCTTGTGTCGGTTACGTACATTGTTCAGGAATTGTTATTATGTAAATAATATTGGTGTGTATTAGGAGACCATAGCGGGTGTAGTGGTGATAGAGAGCAGCGGCGACGTTCGGCACGAGGGGATGTCGCTGCTGATGGAGGGCGTCGTCAACCTGCAGCTGAGCACCAAAAACGCCGGCATCTTCGAAGCCTTCTCCAACAGCATTAAAGTACGAAATGCACATTCAGTTAGGGTGTTGATGATGCAAATTTAACGTAACTTAACGCAATGAGTATTTCCCATGATAAATTCCATATTGATCAAGTATTGACTGTAATCTTTAAGTGTAATGATTACACTTACGGTTTACTGTCTTACTGTATATGAGACTTTGATACATTTATTGCATGATAACTGACCCAGTTCATGTTATTAAAAAAATTACTCAATATTTATAGTAACATTATGGATACACTAAAAGGCATTAAACTTCAATAAAAGGGCTTATTTATTTATGTCAATAATTAAAACACTGGTTGTGCATTTAAGAAGTGTGTTCAAGTTCATAATTTCATGGCAATACCATTGAGGCATGTTTATGGGGGTAAAATTGGTATAAACAGCTACCTTATTATCATACCATCACCTACTTTCTGTGATATAAATGAGTGTGATTGGGTCAAAGTGATGTTAACTAAATTTGTGTTTATAACGTACTAAGTTACAATTTTTTTATTTAGGTATTTATATAATCGATAGTGTTCAACTAGAACATATAAATTTTAAACATTATTATCTTTTCAACAGCCTATTAACTTAGTAAACACTAGCTTGGAGCTGGCACCACCTGGGAAAATTCCTGTGGGGAACACAGAGATACCATTTGAGATTCCTCTACGAGCTCGGCAGGCAGTTTCCCCTGGATACCCGGGACTCCTGGAGACATACCATGGGGTGTTCGTTAACATAATGTACACACTCAAATGCAGCATGAAGAGATCATTCTTGAACAAACCCTTGAATGCAAGCTGCCAGTTTTTTGTGCAGTATAGACAGGTAAAGTTATTATATTTTATATACTAGTTACTAAAAAAAATTCAAGGAGAAACCATAATACAACTCTTTTGGGTAGTCTAAAATTTTGATAAAATTTATATTTGTATTATTTATTTCAGTCAAGTTTAGATTTTTATAATATTCTCAAAATTTTTCCTTTTATATTTCTTTCTTCAAAGCTGTATTGGATTAGTAAATACTAAAGTTTTTAATAACACACTTTCCTCAATAATAAGATTGAATAGTAAAAGCATGGGAATCCTTAAAACCTTAGACTACAAAAGGGATGACATAAAGGAGAATGCCCATTGTAGTATGGACTGTAGTATCGCTACAAAAAATTTTGTACAATGATGATTTTTACCTTATTTTGTAGGGTCCTATGTGTAGATTCAATAATTAAATATACTTTTTCTCTAGCTCGACGGGTAATACGAATAACGATATAACTAATGTCATTTTATTAATAATTCTTGCCTTCCTTTTTCAAGTTTATCTATCTATAAAATGGTTGGTGGTTGGATCAAATCAAAAATCAACTCAGTTTAAAGGAAATAGATGAAAATAATTATAAACACTGAAATATTTACCAAATAATCTGACCGAAATTAGAAACGTCAGTGAAAAAATATCAATTTGACAGACCCCGCTGGAAATAATATTACCAGTTTCTAAAAAAATATGAATGAATCGATATTCCTCTTTCCCGATTTATCACTACTGGTACAATAGTTTAATCCCGCTTAATTATTTATTACACTGTCATAGATTTATGATCATAGTAGAAGCATAAATGTTATATTTTGCACGTATTGCACATGTATAGCGTGTAATATCTGATACATTATTTGTGTTAAATCTGTGGACGGTATTGCGACATGAGATACTTAGTAAAGCAAAAAAGAATTTATTTTATTGATATCAAAATAAACAGCGTTCAGGCTAGGTACAGGCAGATGAATGAGAAGTCCCCATGGAGTTCCTTTTATTATCAGCATGCAAGTTATGAACTACTCGTATGGATGATCGTCGGTCATGCACGTAGACATAAATGCATGTGATGCAGCATTTACGTTTAGGGCTGTATATATATCATGTACGACCCTAAAAAAACGGCCGTCGACAAGTGGTGTCTACGGCCGTTTTTTTAACAGACACCGAGGCGTTGCGATACTTTTTTTCTGACTACCCCTCGATAATATAGACAAATATCCGGTAAATAAACTGTTAGCAGTCGATCTAAACGTGTATTATGGACTTTCGAGTCTATATCAATACATAGTAATCTTAATATACCGATCAGACTACTTTTTTTGCGACAAATGTAATGCAATATAATATGTTTTCTTTAGCATATTGAATTGTACACATAATCTAACTCGTTATTTTGATGAAATAACTACAAGTGCATCGATTATATTTTGATAAATCGATACGATTATTACAAAATGGCAACCCTGAGAAGACAAGTGTGTCAAAAATACAAATGAAATGGAAATGAATGAATTACTAATTTATTATAGAAATTTTTGTTCGGCGAAGTTAAAGCAAATTATTTAACAAGGTTTTGTGAAAATTAAAAACTTGATTTTTGATATAAATTAGGTGAATGTACAAGGCCGACCAAGGACGATACTACCAATGGGCATTCTCCTTTCATGATATTTTAGTCCTCTAAGAATTGGCTATCATGTTATATAGCATGTTTCTGCTTATATGAAGATAGCATTATAATGCAATTACATTTGGTTGTTAGCCCGAATATATATGAACGGAATAGGCTAGTTGACCCTTTTTGGCAAAAGGTTTTAAATGGTTAATAAATGTTCTATTAGACCGAAAAAAATGTATTGTATTTTTTTGAAACCTAAAAAGCTACAAATCTTTAATTTTAAAATAGATTTTTCATGGACATACAAAAACGCTGTGGGCCATTTTAGTCTATAGATTATCTATGCTATGACGTTAACTGCAGTAAACAAAAACTCGTAAGCACGTAGAAATAAACTGACTTAAAAAAAATAATAACTTAACTGACTTTATAATAAAAAAAACATGATTTCTAATAAATACCACGACAAATAAAGTAATTATCATTATCGTATTGTACGAGAATATAAAAACACATTCTTGAAGACTCCAGGAAAGTTGTGGATTAAAGTGCCAAAGGAAATTAACCTACGCAACTTTATTACACTTATTCATATTTTGTATCAGTTGTAACGTCGTATCTACGCCGTCACATACATAAATAAATAATATATGGTTTGACATCCGTCACTTAAGGATTTTCCCTATTTTTTTAATAAACGAAACACAAAAATTGTCTTAATTTTATAAAACATTAAAATAAATTCGTAATAATTGTCATTCTAAAAAGTAAACTTTTGTAATTTATGGTTTGTCCATGCCCAAATTTAAATTTTAATGCGCCAACACTGAGACTCGCGGCGTTTTTCGAAGTGCGACCTGGCAACATGACTTTTCGATTCTTTGCAGAGACGAGCAGTCACTTTTTAAAAATGTGAAATATACTAATATTAAATAAAACTTAGTTTTTCAAAAAAATGCGCTCACCGCATTAATGTGAAGTAATATAGGTGCCAATGGCCCTTTAGTAAAACTTTAAAAGAGCTGCGATTGCAGGTAAGAATTAAGATTAAGATTGTCATATATATATCTAGCCATGTTGCCTGGTCTCTCAAAAGTCTCTTTTGTTTCAGCTCTTTATTTTATCTTTACTCTTTATCTTTAATTTTTATGATATCTTTATAAATATCATTTTGATATCTTTAACCATGGACCAACCAACGTAGAGGCTAAGTAAATCCAATACTTAATGTACTTTGACGTCTGGAATCCAATCTGGTATGTACACATTCACAATAAATAATTGAAGAGGAAAACACCTTTATCATTCAACCCTAGTCAAAACTGGCTTTGAGATTAAAAGCTGATGTTCCCGTAAGTTATTCCGGACACCTGGAGATGTTACCAGCTTCCCGGCGCCCGTTACAACTCTCACTTTAAATGGAAGCTGAGACGCTAAATCGGCTACCATCACCCGGCCATCACCTCCAGCCTTTTTCGTTCCTTTTTTTTGAAATAACTAGCTAGATAAATAGATATACAGTTTTTTTTATTTTTTTACCTTACACAGTTTTATGTTTATTACTACATCGTAATACTAAATACACTGTACTTACATAGATGCCTTGTCGTTTTTCTGCTCCGCAGAGCAGAAATCGGGGTTTAGTGCAATAAATTCACCAACCATCAATGCGTCAATTCTTGGCAGATTTGTGCTTTTTGTTTTCACAAAGCCGGCATTCATAATTAGTTTTTTCAGAAAAAAAAACAGTAAACGAAAACTTTTCTAAAGTTAAAAGCGTTTTAAGATAAATTTAGTCAGACGAAAGAATCCACCCACAGTAACACGCGAATGACATTTACTTGTTTACCATAGGAGACGTCACAATCATGGCGGATGTGGCGAACAGCGTTTTTAGTGTTTAAAAAATATAGACTAAAAAATATTTTTTAAAATTGAATTTCTACAGCAATCTTCTGCTTTTATGAAGTGAAATCGATATATTTAGGTTCCTTAGACCAAATACTTTAAGAAATAAACATTTATTTAATACAATTCGACATGAGTGAACTAGCCTATTGAGTTTACCCATTTTCAGATATTCCGACACTGTCTTCCAGACTGTATTCTTGTGTAAATATTGTTTCAGGTGCCCGTATTCAAGTAATGTCTTTCGTGCACCCGAATACGGGCTAACAGCCAAGTGTAATTAAGCCAAGAGAGTACCTAAAGCCACATCTTTATTAGAGGACTCTTTGCCATTTTGAGTGTGTTCCATTTATTTTTGTGGCAATGTCTGCTCTTGTGCTGCTCAACTAAGTCAGAGTGAGCACTGCTATCAATGCGTGTTAACAATATGCATTGTGATCAGCAAGAAACGCCGCCGCTGAAGCCGGTGCGGTGCGAGATCACGCCGGCGACGGTGCGGGCGTCCGGCGGGGCCGGGGCCGGGGTCAGGGCGGGCGCGGTGAGCTCGCGCGCGTTGCCGCACTTCCAGATATACGCCGAGATCGACTCAACTGTCTGTGCGCTCGACAAACCAATCACGGGAAAGGTCATTACTTGTTTTAACCACTAACAAACAGTTTTAATAACCAAACTTCAGTAAGAGATAGGACTTTTGAGTTTGGTGGCCAATGACTTATTTTATATTGATAGTAGCGAAGACCTCGCTGATACACATTCGATCTTGTACTGTGCGGCTGTTACGGCTTGTCGTGTGGCGCATGTCAAATTCCCAAATACTGACATAGCGACACGCCCTAGACAGGCTATACCAGCCTGGCAGTGCAGGATTGAGAGCCGTATTAGCGAGGCTAGGGTACTCATCGGTAAGCTCAGCTGTTTCAGGGAGGGCAACACCCGCCCTAGGGTCATGCGCTTTGTGAGGCGTGCATTCTCGGGAACTGGTATTAGTCCCGAGAATTATAGTTCACGTGTCACAGAGCGCATTGACTTTCTGAAACAGAAAATTTGAGCATGGGCTAATCGCATTCGCAGATATAAGTTACGAGTGAGTCGTTTTACTCAGAACCGCATGTTCGAAAGAGACCAACGTTGTGTTTATCGATTCTGGGAGCGATCGAATCAGAGTGAGATTGATATGCATCGACCGGAAGATGAGGCCATGATTTCTTTCTGGCGCAACATCTGGTCCGTGCCTGTCACTCATTCTGATGGCGCGTGGATGAGTGATGTTGAGCGATCGTGCGAGCTTTTACCTGAAATGAACGATGTAGCCATTGACTACGAAGACGTAGCTTGTGCAGTTCGTTCGTTACCCAACTGGAAATCGCCAGGCCCGGACGGACTGCACAACTTCTGGTTTAAATGGTTACTAAGCTCGCACGATTGCTTAGCATCTCAATTCCAGCCTACTTTATCATCTCGGTCGCTTCCGGAATTTATGACAACAGGCATAACCCATCTGCTCCATAAATCTGGAAGTACTACGGACCCAAAAAATTATAGACCAATCACCTGTCTGCCAACAATTTATAAAATTCTAACATCTATTTTGAGATCTAAGATTAGTAAACATATTGATCAAAATTCTATCATGTTCACCTCTCAAAATGGATGTAGGAATGGGGCCCGTGGTACTAAGGAGCTACTCCTCATTGACATGGCTATTAATCAACAGGTCCGCCGTAACCGAAAGACTGTCGACTTCCTGGATAGATTACAAGAAAGCGTATGATTCCGTACCGCATTCATGGCTCATGAGGGTGCTGGAGCTGTATAAAATAAATGAAATGAAATGAAATGAAATGAAATGAAATGAAATGAAATGAAATGAAATGAAATGAAAATGAAATGAAAAGTCATTTATTCAGTCTAGGCTGTTACAAGCACTTGTGAAGGTCAAGAAGCTACGCCATCGGTTCGCAAAACTACGGCGGGAGACCTTGTACTGAGAAGAACCGGCAAGAAACTCAGCAAGGGCTGCTTTTTTCTCCCTGTATTGATATATACAGAGTCGTCAAGTTGAAAAATGATTTCAGAGATACATCTGAAGTCACCTTCCATTACATTATTAAGGATATAGATATATAGTTACAATAAATTTTATATTTAGTATATAGGAAGCGGCATTAGATAGGTACCATATTACTGTTTCAAAAACTGACTCATACCCATCAAATAACAAATTACAAGAAACACTATGTCCATGCATTTCGATCATTTAGATAATCATTAACTTTATAATAGCCCTTATTCATAAGAGTATTCTTAATCTGAGATTTAAATTTGGTTAGTGGAAGCTCAATCAGATCTTGGGGAACTTTGTTAAACAATGCAATACTACATCCCAGAAATGAACCTCTTGATTTTTGGAGTCTGAAACATGGAACGGCAAGTTTGTTATTATATCTCGTGTTAAAGTTATGGGTTTGACTTTTTTTTGAAAATGCGTCATAGTTTTTTCTTACATATACTAAATTTTCATAAATGTATTGCGATGCCAGTGTTAAAATATTAATTTCTTTAAATTTTTCTCTAAGAGATTCTCTTGCCTTTAAATTATATATGGCGCGAACAGCTCTCTTTTGCAGTACGAAAATACTTTCTATATTAGCAGCTGAGCCCCACTCTATGCACATGCAACTCTATGCACTTTCTTGATGTCATGTATGCGACAATGGAGAACGGTCCTATTCTATCCAGAATCTCGACAGACTCTGGGTAACGGCGATCTTATAAAAATAGAGCGAGGCATCTTCCAGGGCGACGGTCTGAGTCCATTGTGGTTTTGCCTGGCCTTGAACCCTCTGAGTATACTACTCGAGAGTTCAGGTTTAGGCTATCGTTTACGAAGAAATGGTCAAGTAATATCACACCTGCTTTACATGGATGACTTGAAACTTTTTGCCCACAGCAGTTCTCATTTGACAGCCTTACTGAAGGTTACTGAAGATTTCAGTAATGCTGTCAGAATGGAATTTGGTGTGGACAAATGTGCAATCATGCATGTAAAGCGTGGTCAGGTAGTGGAATCCGCGGGTATACAACTCTCGGATTCAGTTCACCTTAGATCTCTCTCCGCAAACGAAACCTATAAATATTTAGGTATGTCACAGGGATTAGGCATCAACGATGCTGACATGAAACAGTCATTACGTGAGCGTTTCTTGGGGCGCCTGTCAAAAGTTCTTAAAAGCTGAAACAAGTTTCGTGCATATAATGGCTGGGTAATGCCGCTATTGATGTATTCCTTTGGCATACTTAAATGGACTCAAACTGAACTTGATGCCTTGGACAGAACAGTTCGTACATTGTTAACAGCACACTGTATGCATCACCACACAATCACGCTCCTCGACTATGAGATTGTATATCCCGCGGAAGTGTGGTGGTCGTGGCTTCCTAAATGCCAAGACATTACATAACCGCGAGATAAACAATCTTAGGGAGTATTTTCTTAACGTCGATATGGGGATTCATAGAGATGTAGTTGCTGTTGACAATGGACTCACTCCTCTATTTTTAGCAAAAGAAAACTGGCGCAGACCTGTAGTACTTACTTACTTTGGATCGCAGCATTGTATGGCAAAGCAAGGAGTTGCATGGCAGATTCTACCGGGCTCTCCATGGGCCTGAAGTAGATTTATCAGCATCAGTATCCTGGCTACGTTACGGTGACCTTTTTGGTGAAACCGAAAGTTTTATCTGTGCTATTATGGATGAGGTTGTGATGACGAAGAACTACCGGAGGTTTATACTGAAGGATGGCACATTGGATGTTTGCCGTGCGTGCCATCGCCCAGGTTAATCCCTTAGGCATATAATCTACGGTTGTTCTCGTCTCGCAAATGGCGAGTATTTGCACTGACATAACCAAGTGGCCAGGATAATACACCAACAACTTGCTTTGAAATACAATCTTTTAGCATCTGAGGTTCCTTACTACAGGTATGCTCCAGAACAGGTTCTTGAAAATAGCCATGCCACATTATATTGGGATCGATCTATCATTACATACAGGACTATTGTGGCTAATAAGCCCGATATTGTATTGATAGATCGACACGAACGCCGTGCAGTAGTTGTTGATGTCGCTGTCCCCCATGACGACAACCTTGTAAAAGCTGAAAAAGACAAAGAAAACAAATATCTTGATTTAGCTCGCGAGATTGTTGACATGTGGGACATCGATTCAGCAATTGTTGTACCGATAATCATATCTGCCCATGGTTTGATAGCCAAGAGGCTCGCGTTAGGTGGTTGGGTCAAGAGTCAGATGCAGAAGGCAGTACTTCTGGACACGGCCCGTATTGTGAGGAGGTTCCTGTCTCTGGATCCTTAACCACCGGTAGCAGGGACCCTAACCTTGCTGCCGATGGGGAACTACATTTTTGTATTTTTAAATGTTATTTTTTTTAATGTTATACACTGTAAAAAACTAATATTGAGAAATATAAAGGAGAATGCTCATGGATGTATGGACCGCCGTACAATGGTTGCATCAATACCAAACAAATGTTAAATGATCGTTTAATATTCAAATTAGTATGACAAATTGGAATTTTGAAAATAAAAACAGGGATTTTAATGTTATTGTAAAAAATGTGACATAACCTCAAATCCTTAATAACTCCTATTTAAAGTTGGTTTACAGCTATTTTGGGTACTTTTTTATTCTGTTATTTTTGATCAACTTCAGTCTTTCACTGTTTTTCCAACCTACTGCATAGATTTTCATGACAACACAGATTTCAGTGATGGCAGATTTACGTATAGGTAAATAAAAACATTAATATAGGACACTTTTTATTAGATTACATATATTAATTGTACACATTATATTTGAATTACCGGTATATTTCAAATCAACATAATCTTCATAGAAAAAATAATCTAAATAAGGCGCCAGAGCAGTAACATCATTGTAACGACCCCAACTTAAAAACTGTACTACAGTCATTATGTGGTCATAACAGCCCACAGGTTGTTTACCAACGAGACAGCTGCACTAATAACCTTTTATAGCCTAATATATATCTAATGTGTCTGCCCAAGCAGCATCTCTACTGATAAGTAAATATGAGTTATATGTATGCTGCTTAAGTGTCAGGATTTAATCCTACCTCTTAATAAATAACTATTTAGACCTAAAACAAGAGGAATATCATCTACAAACAAAGAAATTCAAACAATTTGTAGCTTTTGTCTTACAACGTTCTAATGTAGCTGCTGGATTATTGAAAAGAGTGGCCAATCTTTTGTTGTTATCAGCAGTTCTTAATTAACTAAATAAATACAAAAGGCTATAGAAGCGTTTGGCACTTGATCTGCTAGATTGGTATACAGTTGAGCAAATTATAAAACTGTTCAGAGTTCATACCAAGTCAATAATGACATAAATGAGGAGACAATTGAAACATTAGAAAAATCTAATTAGTAATTGGCTGATCGCTGTATCATAATCATTATATTATCAAACTGTGTGCCAGTAAAATCTCTTAATTATGTTAATTCATTCCATGGACCATAATTCAAATAGTGATGACAAACACATGCACCAGCTGGTATGCACAATTTATTATTATACAATAAGAGATCCCTGATGGTAGATGAAATAAGTAGACATTCAGGCTCTAAACAATTTGCAAATACACAGGAGAGTTAGCAGCATGTATGATGATGATGATACAATTTTTAGAGTCACTTGTTGAACTGCTTCTTAGTCTTGGTTGTGGCAGAGGAGGTGGCACAGGTATAGAATGATTGCCACTTAATGTAGTATCTCCAAGAGTAAGGCGATTTCAGTCATGTTGTTGTTGCCTTTGTACTTGTTGAATCTCCAACATGCAGCACATACATGTTCCATTCTTGAGATCTAAAAAGATAACATTAATAAAAAATTAATAATTAATATGGAAAATTCCTTTCTCTTTATTTTAAGGAATTTCTGTATTCTCTCATCATCTATTACCTGTCTAGTGATAAAAAAAAACAAATAAAATAAAATCTAAATGTTACCATGACTATTACAAACATCTTAGTTCTGGATTTGTAATTAAGTATGATATGCAGTAATAATACACAGTAATAATAGTTTTCTCATAAGATTGTGATAGTAAATGATTCCTAACCTAAGTATCTAGAACTGTTATTACTTTTTTAAGAAGTCAAACAAAACAGTTAATTATTTATTTCATACAGTTAGTTGCACATGACATTAGCCAAACAATATTAGCTCACCTGAGTAGGATTTATCCATGACTGTAATATGTTGAGGGCTAAACTGTTCTTCTACAAAAAAAATTAAGTATCACCTCTTGGGCCCTGGAAATACAGTTTTACAATACACTGGTTTAGCCAGTCAAATAGTCTAATGGTCATCGATTCCTCATTTGAAGTAGAATGCGTGAGTAGAGAACACTACAAACACACATACGGTAAATAAACGTCCTGTCGTGAATACACTGTTTTTTTCCTGAAAACGTCTTGCCTGTCTTAACAACTCAGAAAAAAAACGTTTGATACGTTCACACGCAATCATTATCACTTCACAATTTATGTAAAAAACTCAATCAACACAAAAATAGGAGTAACAACAATTGACAATTCTCCAATCATTTGCAATAGGGTAGGGTGATGATGATCTGAAATTGAATATACGAATAATCGATGGAATTCAAAAAAAAATGATTTAGTATATAATCGATTTTACGCAATGAATAGATCAAGTCAGATACAAATAAATCCAGATTCAATTAATTAATAAACATCATACAAATAAATATAATTACTAGTTACTACTTAGTTAATGATGAAATCGACAGTTAGGTGAGCGCCTTCTATAAAAACAACGATTAAAGATTTCCGCGGAATTAACCTTCTTTAACATTATTAATACGTGTTGAATTTTTACTTAACTTAGATTCGAATACCCCGGCTACACGTTCCGTCTTACCTAAGAGCATGCCTGCACAGATTAACTAGCCTCTCTTTATCGTCATTGTCGTCCGTCCCTCTGTAACTTAGATACTTTTATGGACGTAGAACAGGACGCGGCACAAGCCAATGTACAATCATTGTATTTTGCGTTCAAGAATAAGGCCTTTTGACTACGTAGGCAAGACAAAGCGCTGGGTAAACACGTGCCTCTTTTTGTCCGACTACCTACATGCTCGACATTTTATCATATACACTACATACAGCAAGAGACGTGATAGGAAAGTGTCGAGTTAAGCCAAGCGACGGTTACTGACTATGATATATTAAGCATAGAGACGAAATAGATAAATGACGAGTTGTCATCGCAACAGTTAAGACATTTATTGTCTTAAAACGTAAAATCACTATTAAACAATAATTAGTAACACGTGATTTATTTGCTTTTTGATGGCCCACTCATCGATAACAAAAACAACAATCGATTATAATGTATAACTAATAGGGTACTACGGCATCACTATTTTTACGATAAATAAACAAACGTCAGATATCCGGCTCAAAATATAAACAGTACTATGACTAATATTATTTTAAAAAATATTCCCTGTTCAAAATAGCCATTCTGATAGACCATCGTACGTATAAATTAAAGAAAATAATTATCATAATAATTTTATCTTGAGGCATGAGACAAAGCTGTACCAAATATGGGCATTCTCCTTTGTATGTATATTTAATGAAATAAAGGAAATAATAATAACTATATTTGGAACAAGTGCAATGTACATAAAATTATGAATAATCGTTAAAACTGCTTTAGTTTTACAAAAACTGTGTTGCAGAATTAACGCCCATTCCCGTATAATATGAAACAGTGTTCCTATCAATGAATAAAATTAATTAAAACAATCTGTATAGAGGAAAAATTAAAATGAGACAAAAATATCCACAATTAAAAATCCATCGAAGGTAATTTCAAAATAAAAAATATGTCCGAGTGCATTTTTATCAATATTATAACAAACCAATACTAAATTTTACCAAAAAATTAAAATAAGGATTAAAATATAACATTTGAATTTTTTCTGCTCACATTAGAAGGTAGGTAAACACAGATAATACAAATCTATTAAAATTACAATATTATACCTACCTGGACACTACAAACCAATAAATCATGATATAGAATAGTTAAATTCAATATAAGACACAATTTCGCACACATCGTACCAACATCACTGCAAAAAAGTTAATTTAAATCATACGAACGTCATTATTTTGTTTATTAAATAGTAAAAACGTCCAGCAGTACCATACGCTGGCCACATAGAGTACATTGTTATATATAGAAAGCTGGCCATCAACTGAACTAACAAGTCATATCGAGCGACTGATAAGCGCGACCAGGATCAGTGGTAGGAAAAGGGGCGGAGCAAGTCAGCAGGCGTGAATCGTTGTAGAAGAAACAAATAGATCTACGTAGGGCGCGACTCCAGTTCATGAGCGACAAAAATGCTGTAACATGAGCGATAAACTCCATTATGAACTCTTTTGATAAGTCGAATTATTTGTTTATATCTGAATTTAAGTTGTTTTTTCATTTATTTTTATAACCTGGCAATAGAAAGAATTTATACCAATACTATATACTAATTCACATATTTTTTAATGTCATTAAAGTTAATTAAAGCAATTTTTTTTTTGATATATTTAAAGATTATATTTATTAATGAGTAAACGTGATTTTGGAATGTTCATTTTTATAAATTGTTAAATCATATTGAAATTATTTTATTTTAAGATGATTATCACGTTAACGAGGTAAAGTCTTTTTCACATTCAAATTAGTTTGAACAATATATACTTTTTTTTTTGGGATAGGTATTGTTTACTTGATAACAAACAGCACGCAAAGCTGCTTTAGCAGTATTTCGACGTTTAACAGTCTTATAATTAATTATTTATAAGTACCTCTGTTTCTGTATATGAAAGCCCCTTCAGCCAAACAGTGATCCGTAGTTTACATTCCTTAAAAGTGGATAAATATTTAATATTTTATTTACATTATTGTATTGATTACATTTCGCTCTTTAGCCTCCGCGTGTCAATGGTGTCACCAGCTATCAAAATAAGTTACAAGTATCGTCAAATATTTTTACGTTAATTTCTTTTAAATAAATCTAGTTTTTACGGGTTAATGCATGAAACTTTATTTATTTATTGACGTTTCGTAGCCTTTACAGGCTACACGTCGACATAATCAAAATTTATTCGAAACGTCAATAAATAAAGTTTCGTGCTAGTTTTATTTAATGAGTGATGTGCGTGAAAACCTACAAAACTAACAAATATGTTAATTTCTTTTTTAACTGTAAAAATTAATAATCTATAAATATCATTAATTTCTTTACTACATTAATTCGTGTCGCAAAGTTAGAAGCATGTTTGACGTATCTATGACTATAAAACATCATGCATAGTTTGTTTCCAAGCCATTTTTAATATTTTAAATACTAACCAACTTTTGCTAAGAAACGAAACCTTAATAGGTTTACCTTTTTACTGAAGGTTGATTATTGGAACTGGCCATTAATAAAGACTCAAATAATATCTACTTCTGTAATATAATTAGTTAATTCTAAGTGGTGGTGGAAGAATCTGTGTTTTTTTTAGTACTGCTCATTTCAAATCAACATTATTACTGTTAATTTCCCATATTTGCAACACAATGCATGCAATGTATTTTTTGTATTCTAGAAATGTTTCCTAAATTATATAATTTTCACAAGTCTTATATATTTATTAAGATTCGCGTGGATGAGTGCTCGGTGCCGATCAAGTCGATAGAGCTGCAGCTGGTACGTGTCGAGACTTGTGGCTGCGCAGACGCGTACTCTAGAGATGGTATGATCTTCATAGTTGATTCATACACTACTATTACTGGTTAGTTACTTAAAATAAATTGAGGCTTATTTATAATTTCCATACACACATAATATTTTCGATACAAACGCGTTACGATCGAACTTGTCAAATAATGTCAAAGTTGTTGAATGAAAATTATATTCTCTCCTAAGATATTATGAGCAAAAACTGGGTATCTCGTTCCGATAATCTTCTATACGCTCCAGACAATCGATATGAGAATGTAGTAATGTTAATTGTTAATATGAAGTCTGAGTAAATGCCTTCTCTCTATTTTCGTGTTCTTATCAATACATGGTCTTCCAGTTTCCAAACCTACAGCGGACTGTAATGATATCTCATAACCGCTTTTTAAACAATACCGCGAAGATACTGGAGACAAATATTATACCAGAACACCGCGGTTCGCTCATTCTAATATGAGCCTTATGCAGTCCGGCGTAAGGGTGAAAGTGCAACGACATCTGCACTTGTTTACAACTTATGCGCGTTACCTACGTATAAGTACGTATTACACGGGTGCTAGTTAACTCTCAATTTAACATGTATAGTTCACTATACACGTACAGTGTTTAGTGAGTGTATTGTGATTCACAACAGTGTGGTGAATAAAGAACTGTCAAGCGTGAACTGGCATATAATTTGGAACCCCATCCCGACACGTAACAATATTTAAAGGTGCTTGTATTAATTTAAATGTATGTTATCAGCGACGGAGATCCAGAACATCCAAGTGGGTGAGGGCGACGTACTACGCGCTCGGGACCTGCCGCTGTACATGGTGCTGCCCAGACTGTTCACCTGCCCAACTACCACCACCACGCACTTCAACATCGGTGCGTACTGTACTCACTCACATTACACTCACCTCACTCATATATACTCACCTACCTCTGTACATATTGTTACCTAGACACACCTTACTCAACACTATTCATCAACGATATTATAAATACTCTAGATACACCAAAACGAACATAATCATGCCTGAAACCTGTCCAAAAGGTACACAATCATAATCAAAATCATTTATCCAGTTTAGGCTGTTACAAGCACTCATGAATGTCTAGAAGCTACGCCATCGGTTCGTAAATCTACGGCGGGAGAGCTTGTACTGAGAAGAATGCAAGAAACTCAGCAAGGGCATTTTTTCTCCCTGTTTTACTATTTACAGAATCGTCAAATTACACATTGGACGATCCAGACAGCTCCGTAAGATGATCGCGTATTCAAAAAAAATATAAGGCTTTATTTAAACATTGAAAGTCACCTTTAATGCATACTTTATCAGGTCAGAATTAAAACGCATGCAAAGAGTTCTGACAGATCAAAATGAAAGCTAATAAAATTTTACGACGAACTTCTATATGCGGAAGAATATAGACCTTATTTCTTTAACTCTATACGCAATTCCGAATGCGCTGTTAGCAATATAGCAGATGCAGGACAGGACCGCGAGGAAAAGAGACTCGGCTATATTACCGACCATGCATTTGAATATCACAAATATTTTCTATTAAATCAGTTTATAGCAAGTATTAGAACTTGCATCAAATGCGTTAAATTAACAAACATTGATTAGGTACCTGTAAGTATGTTTTTCGCATTTTTTATCATGGAGCTCTGCGGCAACTTGACTTTTCAACGGTCCGTGCGTGACTGAACAACGAAGTGCTTGCATGGTGTTCAAGCACTTCTTAGGGATGTGCGATCCGGGTCGTCGATCCGATTTTTCGGATCGTAATGCCATGATCCGATCCGCGGATCGGATCGCATGCCGTCGATTCGATTTTCAAGAAATCGGATCGGATAGGATACAAATAAGTAAGACAATTAATTTTAGATTTTTATTTGGTAAACCCTTCAAAGTATGTAAAACTTGTGAGCAAACAAGCTTGCTCTATGTAAAACTTGTAAATAAACAAGTACTTAGTTTTGAAAGAAACACAATGTGAAATGGTAATTTAAGTACACAGAGAACTTAAAAAATATTTACTAGTTATTTATGAAAAATTTAGACTTCGAAGAAATGCACCCAACTACTTACGTAACTTACTTACTTACTTAGTTAACGTACAATTGAATCAGTCATTTCAAAAAACTCTTAAGTCACACTAATAGAGCTTTTCATGAACTAATAAAAACTGGTTCATGCTCAAACAATCGAGTTTAATAGAACTATTTTACGCTTACTTTGGTATTTGAGTTGTAAAAAATTCAAATATCTAATAACTTTTACTGTTCATAAATAATAATAATGGAAAAATCAAGAATATTTATTCTTGACTTATGTTGTTTTTTCCAAGAAATAGGTGACTTATGTGGTTTTAGCAAGAAATAGATTATCCACAACTTTTGTTTATAATAATAGAATGTATAAGATTAACGGATCCACCTGCAAGGAATGCTGCCAAGTTAAAATGTAAACAAAGAATGTTCGTAACAGAAACCTTAGTAAGTACCTACCCAACTTATTGCAAACAAACCGCGTTTTAATTCATACGATCCAAGCGATCCGATCTTTCAAGTTTTGTAACGATCCGGCAAAAAATCGTATGACCTCGATCCGATCCGAAAATCACCGGATCGTATGCCTTCCGATCCGATCTTTCAAAGGATCGGATCGGATCGGCGCATCCCTAGCACTTCTTGATTGGGGGTCATTTTGAGCGCACGTGGTGTATCTAGAGTATTTAATATCGTTGCTATACATATTTTAAAAAAAAACATAAACAACAACCCATTAAAATACATATTTTGATAGTAACTCACAATTTTATTTTGGTAATAAAGAGCATTAATAAGTTACCAACTGGTTTTTGTTTTTTCACATAATATGTATTAAATGAAATGGTTCTTTTTCAGAGTTTGAACTGAACATCGCTGTTATTTTCGAAGACGACTACTTGGTGACTGAAAACTTCCCAATCTTGTTACTGAGAAGTAGGTAGCTGAGGTGCAGGGAGAGTGAAGAAAATACTGTGATATGTGGAATAATACCTATATTTTGTTATTTAATATTTTTTTTAAGTTTCTTTGATATATAATCAATAATTTATGATGTTCAGTTGTGTTTTATTCGATCAGAGTTTATTTATTGTTGATATTGATAGAAAAGTTATTACGTTTTTTTTACCTCAGGCACAGGTACAATGAGTAGCATTCTGTTTTAACCGTAGTTTGCCTTTGGTTAAAAGGTGTTAATACGACTGTAAAAGATGTCAGAGAAGGTTCAAACCTAAGTTTTTTATTATATGTGAAATGCAACAATATTACGAGGAGCTCGATGGCGCAAGTGGTAAGCGCGTTCGACTACGATCGTTGAAGTTAAGCAACTTTCGCAGTGGTCGGTCATTGGATGGGTGACCAAAAATTTACTATCTCGAGCTCCTCCGTGCTTCGTTAAGCCATTGGTCCCGGCTGCATCTGCAGTCGTTAGCACCCACCAATCCGCACTGGGCCTGCGTGGTGGGTCATGGCCCAATCTCCCTATTCCATGCATAGGGAAGGCCTGTGCCCCAGCAGTGAGGACATTAATAGGCTGATGATGATGATGATGAACGATATTAAATACCCTAGATACACCAACATGACCAAAATCATGGCCGAAACCTATCCGAAAGGTACATTGGATGATCCACGCAGCTCCGTAAGACGATCGCGTAGTCAAAACAATATAAGGCATTATTTAAACATTGAAAATCACCTTTGAAGCATACTATATAAGGTCTTAATTAAAACTCCCGCATCAAAGAGCTATGACAGACAGATGACATCTACGCGCAATTCTGTATACGCTGTTAGCAATATAGCAGGTATGGACCGCGATGAAAAGAGACGGCTAAATTACCGACCATGCATTTGAATAACACAAATATTTTCTATTAAATCAGTTTGTAGTAAGTATTAAAACAATATTTACTTCAACTGCGTTAAATTAACAAACATTGATTAGATACCTGTCGAAAAAACTACATTTTGCATACTATAAATATTTATTTCGCAACATTTCACGGAGCTCAGCGGCATGTTGAACGGTCCGTGCGTGACTGAACCAAGAAGTGCTTGAGTCATGTTCAAGCAAAGGAAGAAAAAGAAATTGTAACTGTTATCGGTGACGTAAAAATAAAACTATTTCAAATCCAAATAAACGTAGTATCAGTAACAGCTTCTTCTTGTATTTTTCATTAACCTGCACTAAATATAAAGAAAATAAGCCGTGGGAAAAGTCTCCCACATCGACAATGAATGCCGATGGTCCTATCCAAAGTTTAAAATAAAGTATGTTCTGCAGCGTAAGGTTATTTGATATTCACAAGGGTTAACTTGGTTGATACGGAAGAAAGCTATCCTTAAGGATGCACTTCTTAAGTAGACCATAATCGTCACTTTAAAGAATTAACTAGTCTTAGTCTTAGTAGTACGGCGGGCTGTTTCCGCAACTCGACACCTAGTGCCTATTTTGCGTGGGGATTGGCATCAGTCCTGCCATCCCAGCTCCTCCAGAAAGCTCAGCAGTCCCCGAATGTTGCTGCAGGCCTCTACTATTGTCTTCGGGCTTCCCATTAGAGAAGTCCTTTGTCTTGCAACGCCCCTGCACTCCAGTAGGACATGGGCGCTCGTCTCATCCGCCTCCAGGCAGGCTCTGCACAGAGGGCTGTCAGAAATACCTAAACACAGTTTGCTCCTAATTTTTTTTTTGTTTGCATATCCACAATTAGTTAGCTACTATAAGTGAATGCGTTGTCAGTCCAATAATTGCAATGAGTGTACCCTCCATTGAGAGTACTACTCCATGTGCTACATCCAGGTGCTACATTCGCTCCGACAGTGACGAGATATTATGCCTTTTAAGCCGGTTACAGTAGAATTGTCTTGTAAGTGCGACTGGCAGCTCGTTGGGATGCTGAGCAAGTCGTTTTTGGTATCTTGTAGATGTCGCCCGGATTTCTTCCTTTACTGTGCTTATTTGTAGGTTCTCGTGGATCTCGTTGTTTGTTACAAACCAGGGCACATTGGATATGGTGCGCAAGATAACGTTCTGTAGTCTTTGTATTACGCTTATGTTGGAGTTACTCGCGCTACCCCACAGCTGTATGCCATACATCCATACCGGCTTAAGGAGGGCTTTGTAAATTAGCAGTTTGTTGTCCACAGAGAGTTTGCGTCCAAGTAACCAGAGCATATTTCTGTATTTCAGGTTAAGTTCCTCTCGCTTTGCTTTAATGTGATTTTTCCATGTTAGCCTGCGGTCGAGATGTAAGTCAAGATATTTCACATTATCTTTGTTGGGTACTTTATTGTCTTCTAGAGATACAGGTGGACAATCTCCTTTTTTGAGGGCAAAAGTTATGTGTACCGACTTAGTCACACTTGCTCTAATCCTCCATTTCTTTAGCCAGATACTTATTTCGTCTAGCCCTTTTTGGAGAATATTAGATGCCACAATCGAACATTTATTGCTGGCTAATATGGCAGTGTCATCGGCAAAGGTTGCTGAAGTAACGCCTGTTATTGTTGGCAAGTCTGCAGTATATATTGTGTATAACACTGGTCCCAGTACAGACCCCTGAGGTACACCTCCTTTAATTTCAAAGAATTCTGATGTTTCACTCGATTCTTTCACCTGAGATATTATGTCTTCTATGTAAGATTGTAATAAAGGGTGATAACTGTGAGGGAGACAGTTTTTTAATTTGCATAGGAGGCCCTCGTGCCATACTTTATCAAATGCCTGTTGAATGTCCAAGAAAGCTGCTGAACAAAATTCTTTATTTTCCAGCACCTTTCTGATTTCCTCTGTTACTCGATGCACTTGTTCTACAGTAGAATGGTTTTGTCTAAAACCAAATTGATGAGCTGGTATTGTTTTATTTGCCTTAAGAATGGGAAGTATTCTTTTAAGTATGATTCTTTCGCATAACTTCGACAGTATGGGTAAGAGGCTGATGGGTCTGAAGGATGACACTTCGTTTGGTGGCTTGCCGACCTTAGGAATCATAACAATTTGGGATACCTTCCACATAGTGGGAAAATGTTGTGTTCTGAATATGCCGTTATATAGCGTGGTGAGGAATACTACAGCTCTTTTGGGCAAATTTGTTAATATTTCTTTTGTAATAAGATCGAAACCAGGAGCCTTCCGATCATTTAAGGCTTTAATTGTCGACCACACCACTTTAACGGTAACTGGTTCCGGTGGTAACGACATCTGGTACGGTTGATCAAGAACATTATCCACATATGTGTTCGATTCCTGATTGTTTGTAGCGTTTGGTGAGAAAACATTAGCCAGATGATTGGCAATCAAACTTGCTTTTTCTGTTGCACTTTTAGCCCAACTATTGTCACTTTTTCTTAAGGGAGGTTTACATTCTTGGGGTCCGTTTAGTTTCTTGGTAAACTTCCATAGTGAGTGGCCAGTGGATCCATTAGGGGCAAGTGATTCCAACTTTGCTTCAAGTGTAGTGTCGTGCCAATCTTTAAGTAGTGTTCTCAGTTCTTCTACCTCTTTATTCAGTTTACGCCTATCGTCACTGTGCCTGCTCTGTTGCGATATGCGCCGAGTCCTTCTCTCTTCTAGTACTTTTTGTCTTATTTCTAGTGGTATGTTAGCGCAATGGGGTTTTTATACTACAGTGGGAGTAGTTTTCCAACAAGCTTTCTGAATCAATTTTGTAATGTGTTTTGTTGCTTCCTCTATTTCTTCCGGAGATTTCAGGGACATTTTCATGTTTATCTTATCATTGACATATTCACAAAATGAGTACCAGTCAGTCTTGGTATTAGAGAGTTGTGGCGGTCTTTCGATTTCAATAACCATGGTGCTAGCTGTTAGCAATACAGGAGTGTGATCCGATGAGGTGTCTAGACAAGATTCCGGTTTGAAATAGTGGTGAGACAATCCCTTAATGATAAAAAAATCCAGGAGGTCTGGAATCTTTTTTAAGTCTGTGGGCCAGTAGGTTGGTTCGAATGTAGATATGGTACGTAGGTTGTTTGCCGTAACGCTGGATAGTAGTTGTCTACCTCTTGTTGTAATAAGTCTGGAACCCCAGGAAGTATGTTTCGAGTTCCAGTCTCCACCAGCCACAAAGCGACCACCAAGGGAACTGAAGAATTCGGAAAACATATCTTCTGTTATTTTATGTTTTGGCGGACAGTAGACGGCAACGACATTGAAGTATCCACAATGGTCTTCAATCGCGACTGTGGTAGCCTGTATATGGTTCTTCTTAAATTCTGGTAGTGGATGATGTTTAATGGTTTCCCGTATTATGACTGCTGTGCCTGCGTGCCCTGTTCCATCCGGGTGATTGGTCGTCTACGTACGGCATCCACGGAAATTAACTTTAGATGCATTAGTACAATGAGATTGCGAGATGAGGATGATATCAAGGTTTTGCTGTCTTATTAGTAAGTCGACTTCGTTTTTGTTCGGTGATAAGCCATTTACGTCCCGTGTTGCTATACGCAAAGATGCCATTAGGACAGTTTGGTTATCAGTGTGGTTATGAGCTGCATGAGTGTGCCCATTTGTTGTAGGATTATTTCGAACTTTTCGGATTGTTTTATGAGTATTTTTTCTATTGTGGTCATCTGAGCCTCTGAGCTTTGAGATTTGTTGTTGTGATCTTTCTTTGTCTCCCACTTTGTTTGATTTTTCGTTTCTGTGGCAGATTTTACTTTCTCGTTGTGTGTATGTAGAACCTTAGCGTATGTTGTAGGTCGGGATTCTGAATCTCCATTATATTCAGGGATAGGGTTCGATGCAATTTTCGGCTTTCGTAGAGGTGGTGCCACTTTTCTTGAGAGGATTTCACGGTATACCTCACAGCCTTTATAATTAGCTGGATGGGCGCCGAAACACAATGCGCGTTTAGCCGGAGTGTTTCTGTCTTTCTTGGTGCAGTCTAACGTTTTATGTTGTTGAGCGCATTTAACACAGCGGTATGGCCTCATGCAATTGTTTATCGAATGACCATACTGCTGACATCTTTGGCATTGGACAATCGTTTTTTTATTTTTCGGATCTTCTATGACAACTGCCTGGTGGTAAACATATTTTAATTCTTTGACGGCCTTGTTATTAGGTCCTGGTAAGAGATTAACAAAGAATGTTGACGTTCTTTTTTTCCGGGCCATATCGAGCATTAATGATCTCTCCCGCTACCGAGTTCCCTGTACTTTCAATTGCTTCTACTATTGTATTTGTGGGAGTTGAATGGTGGAGATTTCGAATCACTATTCTGTAGTTCCTCTGATCTTTTCTGGTATGTCCTATAAGCCCCTTTTCACGGATTAGTGAAATGAGATTTTTATATACTTCCACCTGAGTGCAGCTAACTCTCATTTGGTTTCGGTTTACTATTTTGTAGGTAAATTGATCCCTTTCAGCAACACTTTCTAGTAATTCTGTGAGTTTGCCAACATCTTCTACACCATACAGGATAATTGAAGGAGGCTTGCTAGGTTTTCTTTCTTTGATTTGTTCTTCCTTGTCATTAATGTCTATGGGTAAAACACCAAATCTATTTGAAATCCTTACTTCTTCGGGAGATGGAGTTTGGGTTATCTTTTTTCTTTTAGGGTTTCTACCTACTGGTATTCTTTGCCATTCCGGAGGTTTATGGGTTGTGGGCGGATGCTCGTCAATTTCAAGATCTGAGTCTATATTCAAAGTTGTAGGTGGTGAGGTCGGTGGTAGATCACCTCTTGGCAGGTTTCCTGTAGAGTTGCTTCTAGACCTGCTAATAAACAGGCCAGGATGGAAGGCCTGTTGAATCATTCTTCTATTTCCAGTAACATTTACCGACACAGAAGCCTGGTCACCTACTTCTGTGCAGTCTTCAGTAGCTAATTTCACACTCTCTGGCCCGGGTACCAGAGAGCGCCGGGGGTTAGCCGGGTCGCATGACAAAACGCATTAGTTATTCAACTTATTCATTACGAGAAAGGGGGGGGGGGAATACTAACTGTGCTTTCCCAAGGCACTGTCACCACGATGTTCAGAGGGGATTTAGTTCCTTTTGGCTTGTGGTAGCCATAAACAGGTTAGTTGACCGCCGCCTGTGACTCGGCGTTGTTGCCCGTTTAGCACCACCCGGGGGACACGTGTAGGGTGGGCCTAGGAAAAGGTGGTAAGTCCTACGGACGCGAGCAACTCATCCCCCTAATTTAGTCAATAAAAAGTACCCATTTCATAGTTTAATTCCTTGACGGGATCAAAAACGGTGCGCTACAGCACTTCCACTGCACTACAATAAGTATAGAGAATGTGTTGCAATCTCAAAAGATGCTATAGAAAGCTGTATAGAAAGAGTATCTTTTGTCTTTGATAAGGAAAAATTACAACAATGATTTTTTCTATCTGACAGTGGCAGCTGGTGTTTATTTTTTATTGATGTTGTCTTGCTTGTTTGTTGTTGTGAATTAATAAATAAAGAATTTTTAAGTACTACTTTGTAACAAATATATATTTTTTAAATGTATCACTATACAAATCAGTCAATTTATAATCACGAAGTTTATCAACAGTGTTCTGTTGTCGAAACAAATAGAAATCACAATGTTGCAAGTGTTGTTACTGAAAACGGTGGATTCAATACTAATAATCAGGAAATCGTTCCCTTTGTACCACAGGACAAACGCCATAATGCTCCAACTGAGATTCGGGACAACGTGATTGAAAAATCCCCTAAGAAAACTATTGTAGACACATCTAACTTTAGCATAGAAGAGAGGTTGGTAACCGCTGTATGGGTACACGAAAGGAAAAGAACAAACACCGGCATGAATCAAGTGAGTAATTTGATGTCATGATTATTAAATGAAATTTTAAAATTGAATAATAATTAGGTAGTAATTTGTTTAGATAAAACAGGATTTCCGGCTGCGATTTGGACGTGAACCTCCCGCTAAAAACACACTGCTGGCTTGGGAGCGAAAATTGTTTGCGACCGGCAGTGTCCGAGACGCTCCTCGTCCTGGGAGGCCCGTAAAACGGTTAGTGTATTTTGTTTTTGTTATCTTATTCTCAACTGGCCTAAAGGTTCATTTGATAGATGTAGAAGTAAATCAGCTGTAAGAACTATTTGTGGACGTTTTGATATTGCGCCTTTGTGGGTTGATCTGCAGCAAGTTGCCTCGGCCTGCTGCCTTGTGTTATTTAATTATTTGCCAAAGCAGCCCCCCAAGAGTGCCTCACCCTGAGGCTGCCTCTTATCCTAATGCATCTTGAAATGATGTTAAAATAAATAAATGAAAAATGGCAAGAAGGACTGCTCATAAATAGTCACTAACAATTTTATAATCCATATAATAAGAGCCAGCCAAGCCTCATAATCTGATGTCCATTTAATATAAGCTCATGTGTATGCCCTCTGAGAGGATACAGTGAAAAGTGTATACATAAAGATTTAGCAGGACTTTTAAATAAATTCTAGCCAGAAGGATTAATTTGTAGATGTTGTAAGTCGAATGCTACAACTCACTGAATGTGGGCTCCAGTCAAAATGCCTCAATTTTCATATTACTGTATCTGGCTAATTTAAATAATTTAGATGAGCAAAAGGCGCAGGCCACAAAAAAATCATCTGGCACTGACATGGTACGGGTGGCTTCTCATTCCATTCAAATTTCATACATAATGCATGAAAATAAAGCGCAATTTAGGACACATTGAATGTCGTGGCTTATTTTTCATTAAAATTTGTTAGAAAGAAAATCTTTTACAGAATAATAGCATTTGTCAATTAATAAATTGTGAAGTATTTTATTTTTATTTAAAAAGGGTCGCTTTTCTAGTCATCTGGCAATTTATTATATATTTGAATAGAAGTGCAATATGAATTATTATCTACTTGGTGCATTGTTTTTTAGTCTGGTTCTAGTTTTATTTAATAATATGGAAATCATTGTGGAGACATTTTTTTTTCAAAAATGAACAGGGTAGTGCCTCACGTTTCGCATTGCTGTAAGTAAATAGTCTAGAATTCTGTCCAGATTGCTACACAAGGTGAACCCAAAATTGTCTATAATTCAATTGATTGTATGAGGGCAAGAGCGTCTTTGTCTTCTGATGATGAGTTGCTGAGACATTGATGTCGAAGTCAGACAGCTCGTGTGCACCTGTGCCATGTCATTTTTTCATGTCAATGAAATGAAATGAAATGAAATGTCATTTATTCAGTCTAGGCTGTTACAAGCACTTATGAAGGTCAAGAAGCTAAGCTCGGTTCGTAAATCTATGGCGGGAGACCTTGTACTGCGAAGAACCGGCAAGAAACTCACAAGGGCTGTTTTTTTCTCCCTGTATTGTTATATACAGAGTCGTCGAGTTGAAAAATGACTTCAGAGATACGGCTGAACTCAACTTCCATTATATCATTTCGAATATAAATATATAGTTACAATAAATTTTATAGTTAACATTATATTTAGTATAAAGGAAGCAGAATTAGATAGTACAATATTACTGTTATAAAAATGACTAATACCCATCAAATAACAAATTAAAAGAAACACTATGTCCATTCATTATGATCATTTAGATAATCATCAACTTTATAATAGCCGTTATTCATAAGAGTATTTTTGATCTGAGATTTAAATTTAGTCAGTGGAAGCTCAATCAGATCTAAGGGAACTTTATTAAACAAGGCAAACATGGATCGGCAAGCTTGTTCTTAAATCTCGTGTTAAAGTTATGGGTTAGACTTTTTTTTTCAAATGCATCATAGTTTTTTCTTACATATATTAAATGTTCATAAATGTATTGCGACGCCAATGTTAAAATATTAATTTCTTTAAATTTTTCTCTAAGGGATTCTCTTGCTTTTAAATTGTATATGGCGCGAACAGCTCTCTTTTGCAGTATGAAAATACTTTCGATATTAGCGGCTGAGCCCCACAGCAAAAGGCCATATGACATAACACTTTGAAAGTAACCAAAGTAAACTAATCTTGCCGTTTCCACATCAGTTAAGAGTCTTATTTTTTTAACAGCGAAAGCTGCAGAGCTCAGTCTACTTGACAAGGCATCAATATGAGGATCCCATTGCAGATGAGAGTCTAAAGTAATACCCAGAAACTTTGTAGAATCCACTAACTCTATAGGCTGGTCATTAATTTTTATACTAGTATTAACGTGCCTCACATTAAGTAGAGTAAACTTAACGCATTTTGTTTTACTGGAGTTAAGTTTTAAATTATTTACCATAAACCATTGAAGAACTTCAGAGAGAGCACAATTTACTTCGTCATAACAATAATTTCCTCTTCTAGTTTTAAACACTAAAGAGGTATCATCAGCAAATAGCACTGTCTCACACAGATCTCTTGTAAAGTGAGGAAGGTCATTGATATAAATAAGGAAAAGCAATGGGCCCAATATGGAACCCTGGGGCAGGCCCATAGAAATGGGTGCTCCTGTAGACTCAGCTTCATTTATAACTACTTTCTGAATCCTAGCAGAAAGATAAGACTGTATAAGACTTAGTGAAATATTTCATACACCATAATGCTTCATTTTATTTAATAATGTTTCATGGCTAACGCAGTCAAACGCCTTTGATAAGTCGCAAAAAATGCCAATAGCATCGTGCTTACTCTTCCATACATCAAAAGTGTGTTTGAGAAGTGCAGTTCCAGCATCAGTAGTACTTTTGCCTCTAGTGAAACCAAACTGTTTTAAATGAAATAACTTATTTGAAAAGTGTGCTAGTAATTGGTTGTAAATTATTTTCTCACATACTTAAAATTCAATCAATCAATACTTTATTGCTACAATGTTTTCTTCGATCTTAGTAGGTACATTGCTTTGATCATTGTAGACCCTGAACAGGGCACAGCAAATAGAGAAGAGGACGCATTCAGTAATTGTAATTTTGTTAATATGTATACAATTTATCAGCCAAATACGATAATTTTTACCCGACAAATAAAAATATATCAATATATATTAATATGTCCATTTTCTTGATAAGGTTTTAACTGTTTGTTCTGAGGTAGGTAGGTAGGCCCACTTTTACAGTGGTCACACACCTCTTAGCTTCGTGAAATCTATGTCGATAATGGATGAGTTTGTCTGAGAGGTGTATGATGTGGTGCAGAGGGAGCCGCGTGGCGGAGGTTTCTGCGTCGGTGGCGGCGGCGCCGGCGCTGTCGGTGCGGGGCCGCGCGCGGGCGCTGGGAGTTCCGCTGTCAACGCTGCGCGCCATCCTCACCCGGGACCTGCGCCTCAAGCACGAGCAGCCCCGGCGCACGGGTATATGATCATCATTACTTGCCGGCGCGGCGCTGTCGGTGCGGGGCCGCTGTCCACCATCCTCATCCGGGACCTGCGCCTCAAGCACGAGCAGCCCCGGCGCACGGGTATATGATCATTATTACTCGCCGGCGCGGCGCTGTCGGTGCGGGGCCGCTGTCCACCATCCTCACCCGCGACCTGCGCCTCAAACACGAGCAGCCCCGGCGCACGGGTATATGATCATTACTCGCCGGCGCGGCGCTGTCGGTGCGCGGCCGCGCGTGGGCGCTGGCCGTTCCAACAGTTATGCGTAGCGGAAAACTTCTGGAGCAAAACCGCAGATGAATAAACTTGCGCAGTAGAAGTTTTCGTATGTAAAATTGATACTGCGGCTTCTTTGTTTATGGTCGTTGCTAAAGACGTTTGCCGGGCCGTATACGCGATGATGACTAATGGCGAGTGGGAAATTAGTAAGCCTTGCAGTTTAATTAACAAATTTTAGGTGTTATATTGATGTTAGTTACTGAGAAACTGAGGTGGCACCTGCGCTTGCACTTTACAGGTATGGTAGACAGTCAGGTGGATGGCGGTAGGTACACACTAAATTTTTCCATGGTGTGACTTGTGCAATCTTTACAGCCACTATTAAAGTTTACGACATACTATACTAAATACTTTACATACACCTGCAGAGTACAGATTAATATACCTAGGATACAGAGCTGAGCCATAATCATTTGGGCATTGTGGGCATTGTGCAATGTCTCATAAATGAGTGTCAGAGAGCATATATGACGATGATGAGATCTTTTGGCGCAGATAAAACCGGCCCGTTAAATGCAATGTATAACAGTGCTCAACTACTCGCCGATCAGTACGGCGCCAGCGCCCTTCGAGGCAGGAACTATGTCATTTATTACCGCAAGCATTCCAAGCAATTCTCCGAGTGTATTTATCGTAAACCGGCTAATGTTTTACATCTGCCAGGCGTCCCGTGACAGCGCACATTTTTTTGTTCATTCTAGTCCCAGCCTTTGTAAAATATATTATATAATGGTTGAATTTGAATGTAGGGATAGCATCATGACACTACTACTGATATCATTAAAAGTAAACGTATATTACCTTACAGGTAAACCATCACAAACAAGGATAATACAGCCAGCCAGAAAGAAATCCGCAGCGGGTCCACCAGCTAACTTGACAGTGCCATCACTGCCGGTTCCTAATTGAATGAGTACAAAGATCTAGTTGATGGAAACGTTAATAAGGGCTGCTTTTGGTCAAACATAGAAAGTGCAAGCAAAAGAAATAAAATTAAAGAATAAATCAATTTAAGTGTTTATATATACTACAACCACACACATCTCCTTTGTATGTTTTAAACTCTACTTTGCAAGCAGCTAAAGATGCGAAAAGGAATATTGTCCAAAACCAGAAAAATAAAAATCCTTTCTACATTAAAATACTATATTTCTGGTATACTAAATATATTTACAATTTTCATCTCATCATACCTGTTTATTCCCGTATATATCATAATATACTTAATTAAGAATATAAAACTTTTTGTTATATACAGTACAGTGACACTATTTTCCAATTTGTTAATACAAAATTCTGCATTCAATATGTTTTTTGAAAGTAAGTACTACTTTAGTTATTTTAATAAATTATTTGGTTTCTCATGATACCACACGAAAACAAGTAACAATTTTTCTAGATAACTAAGTACAAAAAAGGTTTTTCTAATAATGTGTAGCAATCACACTCAGAGACGTCATTGAAATAAGTTGAATACTTGTCAAAACGACATGTTATCTATTATTTATTTTGTGAATACGGCTGCGTCTCAGTGCCTTACGACTGCAAATGTTGAGACACAGTTTTTTGACGTTATGCAGTAATGTGGGTAAGCGACATTTTGTCTTATTCTATTGTTATCGTAAACAAAGTAATGGCAACAACTTTACTCAACATTAAACAATAATTGATGTGTCTGAGTACAACTTTAAAAAAGTGTTTAGTTGTTACTTAACAAAATATAAAAAAAAAATACACACAAAAATACGTTTCATTTAACATTTACTCAAATTACTAAACACTATATAAAAAGGTACTGACTGCAAAACAAGAGATAGGTACTTTACCACGCTTAAGCGACAATCATTAATTCGGCACATAATTGTATTTTTCAGTCCTACAGTTACCTGTAGGATAGGATTATATAGGAATACTAGCTGATCCAGCGAACTTCGTACCGCCCTAAAAAAATAGGGGTTGTCCAGCGGACAAAATTGTGAATCTAAACCATTCTCAGATCCCCTTGAACACACACAAAAAATTTCATCAAAATCGGTCCAGTCGTTTAAGAGAAGTTCAGTGACATACACACTCACGTAAGAATTATATATATAGGAATATTTTACCGTTTCGCTCGAACAGTGACTGTTTGGAGACGGTACCTCCATCTAACAAAAGCCCACAGTAAAATCGGCAGTATGGGTTTTTTGTTGGTAAAGTTCGTAGAATATGGATAGAGCGACGACACTTATTTGTAGGATCAACTAATCCATTTCCACTTTAACGTTAGGGGTGTGGGTAATTTGTCGCGCTTCGTAGATATTTATTTTAATAGTGCCTCGTTTGCAATGATTTTCGCGTAAATATGGCATGGTAAAGTGAGTCGCGACTCGCGACTCTTTCCTCTGAGACAAAAGGTAAGCAATAAGGTTTTTCCATATGTCGAATTTTATACGCAAATAAAATCATAATGAAAAACATGTGTCATAAAAATACCTAAAACTGGAATAGCAACAATGAATGCATTATAATAAAAATAAATTGAAGAGTTGTGTTACAGATACGTAATTTTGTTATCAGTCTGGTTACACCTGCTATCTTTACTCTCGATAACAAAGTTTTAGAAACATTGGTTCTTTTGTCTAAGAGGAAATAGAATAGATATATAATGGTGTTTAGAGATGAGATCGGTCCGTGGGCGCGGGCCGCACCTGGTTGCGGCACAGGCCGTAGAACTGCTGCGGGCGCAGGCGCCGCTTCATCGCGTCAAACCTGACGCGTTACACGTTTACTGATCATTATTCATTCGTTATAATTATGAATAACGGGAACATCTTGAGCTAAATCACATACAAATAAATTAGCGCAGCAGAAGTTTTGGGAACAAAGTTCGAAGTTAGGCTAGTAGACCAGGGGCCCAATTCTCGCGGCATAGATATTATATCACCTTCGATATATATCGAATGATCTGGCTTTTATCGAAGGAAAACCTTTTTGCCCTATTCTCACCATGTCGCAATAGATATTTATCTACGGATGATCAGTAGACATACATCGACTGGTAAAGAGCCTTCGATATATAAATATCTATGGATCTTGGCATGTCAATCTTGTTATTTCCACTTTTTTTACCTATTATTTGTTTTGTTGTCGTGTGCCATTGCCAATTATTGTTACCTCAAGATGTTGTTAACTGCCTTCATAAATAATTAGTAAATAAAGAAGTAGGTAAACAATGGTGTCGATTCTGGCGTGATTCTCTAAACTTCTTTTTCTTTTTTTATGGCATGCACGGTTTGTGCGTTCAGCTTCTCTAAACTTAATCCTAAATTTGACATCAGTCTCTCTTTTTAATTCTGTATAGAGAATGACAAGGAAACAGTGTTGTCAAGTTTAAGTTTAGATTTAGAGAATCGTGCCTGAATCGACACCAGTTTATATTAACGATGGATGAGTTGATTCATGTTTTCGTCAATGATTTAGTAAATGACGTGATTGCTGCTGCTGTGCTAAGGCGCCGCCCGTTGTGAGAGCAAGAGGGTCCATTTGAAATGAGGGACGCCGACTTCATAAAAAAATTACGTTTAAACAAAAATTTGGTTAGAAATCTATAAAGTTATGAATGACATTGGTATCGATTCTGACACGATTCTCTAAACTTAAAACTAAATTTAACATCAGTCTCTCCTTTTCATTCTGTATGGAGAATGACAAGGATACACTGTTGTCAAATTTACGTTTAGGTTTAGAGAATCATGCCAGAATCGACACCATTTTCTTATTGACGATACGGAGTTTTTGGCGGGATTTCTGCGAGTGCGGTTGGCGTCTTATTTTAATTATTCTAAAATTCGTTCATAGTGGATATTGTGAAATAAAATTGGTGTGATTTGGTGTTACAACCGTCTGCGCAACTGAAGAATTAGTGGAATCTTTAATATATACGCGGTCAAGTGGACGCGAGAACTTTATTGTAGTGTTGACTACCTCACAGAAGCTTAGAGAAAAAGCCAACTCCATAAATTTCGTGCCAAACACTCCAAGAAACATTAGAATGCGTCACACCGACATTCTAATGTAAAAAAAGAAGATTAATATAACTAAAGGCTAGGCTGTATGGGCATTGTTCCCTTTGCCTTCCCTAAAAAGGGAGAATCTTAAATAATATTGACGTTTCATTATACATAACGTTGAAATTATACACGCATACAATTTAGGTAAAGTTGAGATTTCTTATACTCAAAAAATGTATACTCATATTTAATATGAATGGAATTCATAAAATATCATTTTGTTGCTTGTAAAATTCTGCTCTAATTTATTATTATTTTATATAGACCATGATGTTAACTTAATCGAGAAAAACGGAACGCATTCGGCAGTGACAGAATATCTACGATCATTGGAATATCGAAAATCCACGAGAATAGCATTTTTTACCATCAGTAGATATTTTCAATAGATATCCCTCCTTTCGATATTATCTCGAAGCCGATATAATATCTACGCCGCGAGAATTGGGCCCCAGGGTCGATAATTTTAAAAATGGTGAAAAGTGAAAAAAAAATATAGTAGGATGAAACTCATTAGAAAAGGGAGAGAATATAACAAAAATGAAAGGAAAAATAAATTACGGGCGATCTGAGGTCGGGAAGGGGGAGGCGGTGAGTTTTTAAGGGTAAAAAATGGTTAATCTCGATTTCCGGTAAAACTGCAAGTCCTATGAAAAAAAGTTAAATGGCAAAGTTGTAGGTAATAAAAAGATCTACAACTTTTGTATCGACACTTTTTTCACATAACCTCAAAATTTATGTGAAAAATGCGAATAACCGAGTTTTTGGTTTTTGATTTTTATTTTTTGCAAAAAAAATTAATTTTTCACGAAATTTGGTGAAAACTTACCTTTGTATGTCCCAAATATACAGTAATTTTTTTGATTTAAAATATTCATTTTTTCACCTTATTTTGACTTAATATCCAAAAAGCACCCTAATTAACAATCGAAAATTCTCACGTCAAAATATCTACTTTTTTAAAAAAGTTAGGGTGTTTTTTGTTTGTTGAAATCTCTACTTTCTGATGGTATAAAAAAAATATACACTACTATGATAAATGTTCTCAGAAAATGCAAATTAATAATGAAAAAAACTCGAATCCGAAAATCCTATTTTTAATACCTACTTACAACAACTATTTTTGCATGTTTTATGGATTTGTAATTTTTCTGTTTATCAATATAACATGAAATCTTACGTTTTTCGAGTAATTAAAGTGTAAATTTTAATAAATAGTTCAAAATTATACATAATGATTCAATACAATTTTTCGGATTGGAGTTTTTTATTTATTTTTCGCATTTTTCACATAAATTTTGAGGTTATGTGAAAAAAGTGTCGATACAAAAGTTGTAGATCTTTTTATTACCTACAACTTTGCCATTTAACTTTTTTTCATAGGACTTGCAGTTTTACCGGAAATCGAGATTAACCATTTTTTACCCTTAAAAACTCACCCCCTCCCCCTTCCCGACCTCAGATCGCCCGTAATTTATTTTTCCTTTCATTTTTGCTATATTCTCTACCTTTTCTAATGGGTTTCATCCTACTATAATTTTTTTTGGTCTCAAAAATTATCGACCCTGGTCTATAGGCGAAAAAATTGTAAGACTGTACTCAACATAATGTTTTTTTTTTATGTTCCACGACACACCTTTTTGGACGTAAAATTAATACTGCACATGCTCCGTTATCTGTGGTTAAGCTGGGGAAGTTTGTCGTTCCAATACTTCCAATACTATTACGAGTGGACTAGAAGAAGTTGCTCTTAATGAGAATAAAAATAAAATATTGAATCCAATTACAGAAAGTGATACATATCAGATCTAATTGTATATTTAAACTATCTAGGGTTCTACACGAATGAACACAAAATTTCATCAAAATCGGTTCAGTCTTTTAGAAGTTTAATGATATTTACAATGAGGATCCGTAACGATTTTATGTTACGGATCCTCATTGTAAATATCATTATATTATAGTGGTAAAAGTTTATTGTACGACAAATATTGAAGTCATGACCAAATTACTAAACGAATTTTCGGCTAGCCGCGTGGTGACTGTGACGTCACAGAGCTCTAGCGCTCGGGCGCGAGCGTGCGTTGAGATGCTACTAAAGTTCGACTGGAGTGAACCGCAATCAAGCTCTGGGACGTCATACGTTTCGGCCGCTGCGGTAAATATCGGCTACCATACAATTAGTTATGAAGCAGCTGTAAGGGCATATGGCACAGCTCACCTCCAGCCCACGTGCGCGGCACAGCGCGATGCTCCAGGTCTATCCGGGGAACCAGCTGTAAGGGGATATGGTCCAGCTCACCTCCAGCCCACGTGCGCGGCACAGTGTGATGCTCCAGGTGTATCCGGGGAACCAGCTGTAAGGGCATATGGCACAGCTCACCTCCAGCCCACGTGCGCGGCACAGAGGCGGCACAGCGCGATGCTCCAGGTGTATCCGGGGAACCAGCTGTAAGGGCATGTGGCACAGCTCACCTCCAGCCCACGTGCGCGGCACAGAGGCGGCACAGCGCGATGCTCCTGGTGTATCCGGGGAACCAGCTGTAAGGGCATATGGCACAGCTCACCTCCAGCCCACGTGCGCGGCACAAAGGCGGCACAGCGCGATGCTCCAGGTGTATCCGGGGAACCAGCTGTACTCGTGGGAGGCGCCCCCCTCCAGTGATATGTTGTGCGCGCGCGACACCGTCACTACATCGTGCACGAAACCGCCTGCGGTATACATACGGTAGCCTTACAATCATACGTAATTATAGTATTCATCAACATCATCGGCCTCCAGTGCGACCGAGATGCTGTGGCACTTGCAATAACGATCTTTATGAATGTGATTGACGGTTCCGGGAGGGCACCACAGTCAACGAAAATGAGCGTAAATGACATATAAAATATGACGTTTACAAAGACAGCGACGTTAGTTTTAATTATGGCCACATTCATGAAAATCCTTGTCGCCCTGTAGATGACATTGACGAGAGGGTGCTGTTAGTGAATAAGTGGATTACTAAGCACGCAAAATCTCCTCACTACTAAAGAAACTTTATAATTTTAAATAATTCAGAAAGATTAATAGAAAATGTAAAAGGCTTTTTTCTACCTTCCCCTATAAATAAAAGACTTAATTATACTTTCCTAAATTAGTTCCGATTTCGGCCACACGCCATAATATTTTAGTCAGACATTGGTGACGATTACTAAAATCTAACTTAAAAACTAAATTTAACATCAGTCTCTCCTTTTCATTCTGTCTAGAGAATGAAAAGGATACAATGTTGTCAAATATAAGTTTAGCTTCAGAGAATCATGCCAGAATCGACTACTAAATTAAGTAATATCCCCACTGCTAAGACACAGATATTTCCTTTGGATGAAATAGGGAGTTTGGACTCCCTTACACGAGAACTGTGCAGTCCAACTACCGTACATGTTTCCGTGTCAGCGAAATAGTTTACTTATTTTATTGTTACACAGTCGTGTGAGAATCAAGTAATTGTAAGCTCGTATATCAAGAAAATAATCATTCTATATTCGTCAAGGAGTTTTTATTATCAAGTTATCAAGATCTATCAAATTAGTCGTTCGGCAGCATCACGGCACCATCCGACATTGTGGTGATAGCCAGGTATAAATACGGATTGATGAGTCCTAACGACTACTGATAAAGTCGGGTAAACCGATGACATAACACGTACCTTTTGATACACGGAAGAACTTCAAATTATTAGTTTTTGGTAACATTCAACTAATAAAGAATGTGTCCGAGAACTGTTTCCTGTGGAATCCTTCTTTTTAAATTTTTAAGAGTCGATAAAAAATTTACCCTAACATAACCCGGAATCAAATAGTGAAACTCAGAAATGACGTAAATTAAATACACCCTCAGGGTCACAGGTACATACATCGGGTACACAGACGAGGGGGTAATGTCTATCCGGTACCCTAGTATCCCATATCTAACGCAAGCCTCTAAGTGCTTACGTTGGGGCTAGGTTAACCGGTGTGAGTTGTAAATATAGATTGAGTGATCTCGTATGGTACCCAGGTTGGTGTAGTTGGAGTGCAGCCCGTCGCTGGACATGGCGAACACGTGCTCGCGCCGCGCGATATCCGTCAGGCACGACGCGCAGCACAGCACGCCGCTCTGACAAACACAATCATCATTAGCCTATTAATGTCCCCCCTGCTGGGATCCAGGCCTGAACCTATGTATGGAATAGGGAGTGCGGGTCATGACCCACAACGCGGGCCCAGTGCAGATTTGCGGCTGCTAACGACTGCAGATACAGCTGGAACCAACGGCTTAACGTGACTTCCGAAGCACGAGCGAACTCGAGATAGAAGATTTTGAAGTTGCTTAACTTCAACGATCGCAATCGAACGAGCTAACCACCTCCGCCATCGAGCTCCTCAAGACAAAGACAATACTTGAACGTTTTCTAAAATGTAGTTCTCATTTGCACCAAGGTATTATTTATTTATTTATTCAATGTCTTAATTTTTTGTTCACAGTAGTTCACAAATCTATAAAACATGTAGTATACAATACTTGCATCAAACTTGTTGGATAAACAAAATAAAATGAATGTTTTAAACAGCCCCAACAAGTAAACCAGTCTAAAAGTTTTATTTAAAACTAGTATATGACTTATTTCTTGGTGGAAACGAGGAGTTTTTTTTTTATAAGGCCAGGTAGGCAAATGACTCTACCCCATCTGATTAAGTGGTGATAAAGTTTAAGTATGTCCCTCCTTCCTACAATCTGGAGAAGAAGAAATCTCTTCTAAGAGAAGCATGAAGAAGCACATCTGCAGGCCAGCAAGGTAAGAATGGTTGTTATGACAGTTTTTAACTATTGAATATCGAAGAATAAACTGGATCAATATTCGATCGAATCAACGATTTTTAATTTTTATTATTAACTACAATCAATCGTTAAATTATTTTACGACTGATTGTAGTTAATCACTTTTGAGAGGAGCAAAGCCATTGCTTCAACCTCTATTAGTCATAAAGAACTTTTTTTCTTTTGAGTCTTTTGATGTAGCTGCTTCTCTCCTGCACCAATGGTCCAACAAGAGGATTTGGATGAGCCAGAACTTTCTTTTTGGGTTTCTTCTTGTATCTGCTAATTTAATTTTCTGACATTTCCAGATATCCATGTATTCAGTGTTTCTGCTGTTATTTGGTACCTTTTGGAGGCACTGCAAGTTGCTATCAAAAGCGGTAGCCCACCATTGAATAACAAAGAGCCATATGGGTTTTCGCACAGAACACAGCAGTACCGTGTGTATGAGCCGCAGCTCGAGTGCCAGGCGCTGCAGAGCACCGTCGGCCAGCAGCAGCGCGAGGCGGTCCCGCTGCTGCAGCTGCAGGTTGGACGCCACCCAGAACGACAGCGCGACTGGATCTGACGGCACCGCCTCTGTGCATACAACACGATACGTACGTTCAGTACGCAGACCTAAGCACGGCACCTAGGCCGTCTAACGAATCGTGACCCTCAAAAAGAGCGGCAAATTTAAATATTATGTAGCTGTAAACACCAATTTGTTACGGATAAAATATATTTTGCTACTTTAAATTAACAGATTACTTAAACATTATAACCGTCTTAATTTACGAAGTCATGTGGATTTAATTGTAGTGTTGTGAGGTATCCGTCGTACCAAAATAATATTCCGCGTTTGAAGACAATTCAAAAAGGTTTTTAAATAGCCTTTCTTACGTTAGTGGCGATCACTGTTCAATCTGAAGCTACGCTGACAGGTTAGAGCATTTAAAAATTTTGTCATTAGAGCAGCGAAAATAACAAATAGCCATTGCCTTTTTACATAAATTATTAAACTATTAGGTTAAACATTCCATATTGATTTCAGAAAGAAAAAATCTCCTCTCTGTACAATGAATTGTCAGAAAACTGTAATATTGATATTTTCAACGATAGTTTGGCTCAACATTTTATCTTCATTACACAAAAAGCGTGTAAATGTTGTTGTTTTACATTATCTGTTTATCGAAATTATTCATGTTTCCTGTTAGATGTTTAAAGTATGTTATTTTTTTATTAAATTTATACTTTTGAATGTTGTACATAACTTTAATTTAGACATATATAACTAATTATTGTATTTCATAACTTGTGAAACCGTGTATGTGTTAAGTTGGTATGCCTTTATCAAATAAATAAATAAATTAATTTAAAAAGAGCGAGGTACTCAATATGACTATATTTTTATATTTGTTGCCTCCTAACTCTGAAATTTGTATGACGGATTTTCATTTGATATTAATAAATTATATACTTAAGTTCTATTAAAGTAAATTTACAACATTTAGAGACAGTGCCTAGATCTGAGTTGTCGTTTACTGCTAGGGTTAACTTAGCAGCCAGCGACTTACTTTTCCTCAAATCGTAATACAGACACATAAAAAGTAAGGGTGGGCGTTTTTAGAATAAAGATGCGCGAAAACGATGCCGGGTTTGGATGCGCGCATCCGATGCCATCTAGTTTTTGTCAACATTACTAAAGCAACAGTGCCACAAAGGACAATGGGCAAAACACACCCAGCTCCGCAAACAATGTAATTAGTATGAATCGATAGATCTATGAAAAACTAGCCTTTTTTATTATGACACCGAAAAAAATATCCTGGGAGTCAAAAGATATGACACCGTAAAACATATCCTGGTAGTCAAAAGATATGACACATGGGCATATTTAAGTAGGTAAATAAATTCATTTTATAGTACCTTCATTTTATATTATTAGTAACCATAATAATATACCATATCGTACTATACAACCAGATATACGACAAAGCCTGCCGATCCATCCTGCGCTTGCACTTACTGAGCCACCTCAAAACGGTTTACAGGGGTTGAAGGATTTGCATTTGCAAATAGTCGACTCGTCTTACTTCGTTGTAATTGTGCGCTCCAGGGAGCGTGTGTGACAGTCACAGGTCACTTTATTGGGTTTTTGGTAGACCGATATGTCTGCCAATAACAGCCTACCCGCAATTACTTCAGTTACTCCGTGATCATGGCGCTTGCAACAGTGCCGAAATATCGGAAACTCGCTTAAAACAAGGTAACAATCCCGTAAATAACTTATATTACAATAATTATTGGGTTTTATCTAACAGTCTTTGGACATTAGAACACGGTTATCGATATTGCCAATTAGTATGGATGAACTGGAATCATGTTTTCTCCGAAGCGTGGACAAGGTTGGGTGATTTGTGGACGCTCCGTTTTACAAAGAAGACCATTTACTATAACGAACAGAATATTTGAAAAAACCCCAACCCATGCGGGGATTTTTGGATTTACTCTAGTGCTGCAGAATAAGGGGGCACCCTTGAACCTTGTGAAGTACTCCCATAATACCTGAGCCCTCTATGTAGTGTCGAACTAACTAACGAAATTAATTCCCTTGTTTCATTAATGTTCGTTCGTTTAGTACTTGTACCTATTTAACTTAAAATAACTTAAGACTCCCGGGATAGAATTTGATGCGCTTTGGCACAGATGATCATGACTATAATACCCTTCAAACAAATGTAGTTTAAGCCGTGGCGGACGTGGGTGCAGCGTCCATACATTTTTGCCCAATGTCCTTTATCTGTACCGTTGGAGATGTCGCTAACGGTGAAAAAATATGTCATAAAAATGTTAAAAGGCTATGGATAAATTGTAGGTCAAGTTTTACCATCGGCACAGAAAAGTTTGTGGTACTGGACTGCGTTCAAAACCTGCGCTCATTTTTTATGTAATAATTTTGCCAGCATTCAATATTTTCAGTTACCATACCGAAAAGTGAATAAATGGTATCAGTTACATTTTCAAGTCACGATTCATGGAATCGAAGAGACACACACACCACACAAAACACGAATCTGTCGTTATTCATATCGCATCGTATCCTGTGATCCTACGATACTGACATTAATTAGTCATCGATGCGATGCCGGCATCGCTGCGCGCATCGGATGCGATTTAGTTGATACCGATGCGCATCGATTTCACAAATATCTAAAAACGCCCATCTCTTATAAAAAGTGCAGAACACATAAAAAGGTTATAAGGGATTTGTGGGCGGGGCAGGCGCGCCACAGTTGTGTGAGCAAATGCTCAAACTTGACCAATACTTGGTTCTGATGACGTCGTTGCTCTCGGGTGTGAGTTCTGATTGGTTCGATTGTTTGATGTCGCATCGTTTGATTGCCTGTCTATTAGGCTGAAGTAATTTTTAATTTGACTCTGTAAATAATAATACGGGAGAAAAAACCAGCTCTTGCCGAGTTTCTTGCCAGTTATTCTCAGGTTATTCAAGATCTTTCGAACCGATAGCGTAGCTTCTAGACATTCATGAGTGCTCGTAACAGACTAAACTGAATAAATAATTCAAGAGCCCTTTTACAAAATTGCGCCGCTGCCGTACTGATCGGCGCGTAGGTAGATTTGCACTAGTATATATTGCATTTTACGGGTGATGTTTCGAGTCTTATAAAATAATTATTAATGAACTAATTATAAAAACATATACATATTTCAGTAGTTCAATGATGGTAGATTAGTTTTATGAAAGTTTTTGATAGTAATTTTATTTACTTCAATGGAGGTTAGGTGTTTTTTTTTGATAATTAATGAGATGGAAAATCAAAATTCTAATACATTATGTTACAACAAAAACATATTTCCGATGTCGTAGCAATTAATTTGATCTAATTTATTCAACATTATTCAGAGTTTAAGGCGTTTGAAGTTGTGCAATATTATCGCTTTTTCCGTAAACTAGCTGCAGTAGAACGATCAGTACAAAAAAGGAAAATATTTTTTGCAAATATTCTACATTAAGGTACAATACGAAGAATAAATCTACTGTTTACTTCTGTTGGAAATAGTCAAAATCTATTCTAAGGGGGTAAACGAGGCGCTCAAAAATTACGATTTTTTGCAAAAAATGTGAAAGGGCTCTTAAGAGCTTTGTCATATACCTAGCCGGAAGGTGGAGAAGTATTCCTTTATGGTCTGTCGCATGCGCGTGTAGTCGAACATGTCGTACACGAACGCCGGCCACGGCGACACCGACGCCTCCAGACGACGCAGCTCCGCCGGCAGTCTGCGGTGACACACCGAGCGGTTTATACATTGTTATGTGTGCAAAGCGGCGAACAGAATAGAGAGAGGTTCCACTAATTGCATCGATTTGAGTGCAGACAAAAAGTTTTCGTTTCATACTGCCAAAATTATTCTGTGGCTTAAAATAAAATTATGCACTTTGTTACACTGCCGATTCTCGATGTGGCTAATTCGTAAGTTTATTTACTTATTTATTCCAGTTACACATTTACACATGCCAGCTTACAGAAAAATCCAAAACGCCGGTAAGTCATACATAAAAAAAATTAAAAGGACAGACTGATGCCATGTTAACAAACAGTAAACACAAATAGACATAGTCAAAATAGTGATATTCCGGGAGCCGGACATGAACTCCTAGTGATGTAAAAGTCAACTGTAGCTATAGTTTCAGACTTGTATGTGTAATGTTATAGGGTCTCACAGACAGAGGTGGATCGTGTTCAAACATTCGCTTACGTTGATGGATGATTGCAAGCGAACAAAGTGGTTGTCACCTCGGCCACCTGTCTGTGAGACACTCAATGCGTTGGTGCGTGTCCAAATATAACGATTGCAGGCGCGTGTGCTGCTTGGGGGGCGGGTGAGACAGTTAATGTTGGCGCGGCACAAACATACTGACTGTGGGCGGCGCGGGTCGAGGGACTGCAGGCGCGCGTGCTGCAGCGGGGGACACACGCCGAGCTCCGGCAGTACTTCCACTTCCATCTCCACGCCCTCACTGAAACGATATTAATGACAATCAGACTGCCACTCTGTGATGACGGAATATTAAGAAGGCAACTAACAATAAACATGTACATATAGTCTGTTTCAAACGAATTTCGACCAAAAGTAAACAAACCGGTATGTAAGTCTGACAATATACAGTTTAGTGTTGGAGATTCAAAGAGCCTTATCAAAATCAATTCAATGATCATATTCTTAGTAATTGTTAAAAATATAATAATATAAAAGGCTTAATTCTGGCTATTAATTGTATTTGCCAATATAGTTGACTATATTTCGTTTCTAATAAAACCCTTTTTTAAACGATTGGTTTACGTGATTTATTAAATATCTAGCTTCGTCGGCTAGCGAGCTCGCAGCATTATCCAGTTGAACGTCCTGCTTTCATTTTATTTACTTCGTTCAACAGTAGTCAACTTTTACGTTTATTATATATATTACAAATGTGAATTATTGTATTTATTATCATATAAATAAAATAACCTATAAATTTAAAGTCAAATGAAATATGTAATTTTGAATTGACTTTTATTGTTCAACCATAGACAACAGACAATTCCCGTCTGCCAAAATAATCTTACTTTTTGGCTCGACTTTTTATTTACACATTTTCATTAATTAACAAAGAAATTAGTGCTATAAAAGATAGTGAATTAATATGTCAAACCTCAAGGAATGCAAATAAGTGTTGAGATATCCATTAAGTGATCATTGCCTGGGAATTGAGAGGTAAAGTGTTTCTTTACCTTTGGTCTAAATTTGTTTGGGTTTGTTTGGACTATAAACCTATACATGTATGTATGAGTCCTTATGGCTCGTAGAGCAATCGAAAAGAGTATAAAAATTGTTTGTTTGTGAAAACTGTATTAGGCATATCAATACTATATTATTTTGTTTTAAACATTGTAATAACATGCAGATTGTTTTGTTGTTTTCCATATTATCAACTGTAAGGTAAAAATTAATACGAAACCAGATTTTATCATCAGCTTATTAATGTGGAGACTGCACATGGATAAAATATGAGACCCAGTACGTAGTGGCATCAGTTAACGATTGAACGACTACAGCTTAACGACGACGTAATGTTATATTAACAGAGACGTCGCTCGCCGCCTGCGCCCGCCTCGTAATGTTATATGAACAGTGACGTCACCCGGTGAAGCGGTGCAGCGTGTAGGGCTGCTTGGGCATGTGCCGAAACCGGAAACGGTGCACGGCGCGCGCCTTCACCGACAGCGAGCGCTCGCCGCCCGCGCTCGCCTCGTACACCTCGCACAGCGCGCCGTAGCCCGACGCGAACCCCAGCTCGCTGCAATGCGGACAACGATCATAACACTGACCAAATAAAACGACCTAAAACTGAGTTAAAACAAACAAATGAAACAATATATCGGAATAAAATTTAGTATAAAGAAAGGAATCGAAAATGCCGTCGCGAGACATTATGTTACTTATAGGATAATATGTGCAAGAGAGAAAGTAATTATTGGATTTATGTTTTAGCAACAAGTACTTACACGTATCAAAATGTATATCTCCGGTAGTTCATGTGGACCCTCGCCACCCACCGTCTTTAATTGATATGTCTGATGGTTGGGCCCCGTACTGACACATACTCACTCGGGACAGCAGCCCGAACATGGCCCACTCGGTGAGGGCGCGCGCCAGTGTTACCGCATGATCAGCGCGGGGCTTAGTAAGGGTACGGTCTCCCCCGGGAACACGGCCTCAGCCCCGGGCCCCGTACTGACACATACTCACTCGGGTCACAGCAGCCCGAACATGGCCCGCTCGGTGAGGGCGCGCGCCAGTGTTACCGATTGATCAGCGCGGGGCAGCAGTAAGGGTACGGTCTCCCCCGGGAACACGGCCCCAGCCCCGGGCCCCGTACTGACATATACTCATTCGGGACACAGCAGCCCGAACATGGCCCGCTAGGTGAGGGCGCGCGCCAGTATTACCGCATGATCAGCGCGGGGCAGCAGTAAGGGTACGGTCTCCCCCGGGAACACGGCCCCAGCCCCGGCCCTCGTACTGACACATACTCACTCGGGACACAGCAGCCCGAACATGGCCCGCTCGGTGAGGGCGCGCACCAGTGTTACCGCATGATCAGCGCGGGGCAGCAGTAAGGGTACGGTCTCACCCAGGGACACAGCAACCCGAACATGGCCCGCTCGGTGAGGGGGCGCGTCAGTGTTACCAATTGATCAGCGCGGGGCAGCAGTAAGGGTCCGGTCTCCCCCGGGAACACGGCCCCAACCCCGGGCCCCGTACTGACACATACTCACTCGGGACACAGCAGCCCGAACATGGCCCGCTCGGTGAGGGCGCGCGCCAGTGTTACCGATTGATCAGCGCGGGGCAGCAGTAAGGGTACGGTCTCCCCCGGGAACACGGCCCCAGCCCCGAGCCCCGTACTGATACATACTCACTCGGGACACAGCAGCCCGAACATGGCCCGCTCGGTGAGGGCGCGCGCTAGTGTTACCGCATGATCAGCGCGGGGCAGCAGTAAGGGTACGGTCTCCCCCGGGAACACGGCCCCGTGGTGCGCCACCACCACCACGCGCCCACACCATCCCGCCTCGACCACCTCGCGCCCCCGCACCGCCTCCAGCCCCGGGCCCATGTACTGTACAGGTACATTAACATTAATCATCAGGATCATAAGGTCTCCACTGCTGGAGCACAGGCCTTCCTTATGGATGGCATGTGAAGAATGAACCCACAAATGGAGCCAGAAGCAGATTGGTGGATGCTAATGGCCAATGGTCGTGGCTACATTTGCAGTCATTATGACTGCAAATGTAGCCAGGACCATTGGCTTAATATGCCTTGTGAATCACAGACAAGCTTGAAACGGTTAGTTTTAGGTCTTGCACCATCGAGCTCCTCTCATTTATGTGTAGTGTATAATAAGTGTATTTAGAAAAGCGGCCATTTGTAAGGTTTTGAGCATCAAGCAAGAATCCGGCTTTCGAAGAGGCGTGATTAAGTGAGTGATATTAGAAGCCCTCATTATTTAATTTCTTTCATTTTCTTCGAGTGTTTCATGTCGTATATTATTTGGTGCGCGGAAATTGCAGTGCTAGCGTTAAAATAAAGAAACAATGAACTTTCGATTATTGAACTTAATGTAGGTCAACATTATATTTTAATTATTAGTCGTAGCATTACTTGTATTTTATATTAGTATGTCTTTAAATGATTTAATTTTTTGATTTTGTAGAATTTTATATAGATAAAGAAAGAAATTAGAACAAAAGCGGCGTATTGGACCAAATTACGAAAATGGTGTTAAAGAAGCGATTATTTCAGAATTTTGAAGATATTTTAAAATCATTTCCATCTAGCGAGTTCACAAAGAACTTTCTAGATTTAAGCATAATTATAAGAAATTTATACTCGTCCATCTTAGACTATACAACCTCCAAAATGTCGGAGAAAGAGTCATTTTGTTTAAAAAAGGCAGTAAGCCTTTTGCCCAAAATGAATGGAAATGAATCCACAACACAAGAATTAATAGATTCTATTGACCTATATGATTCTATGCTTGATAGGAAAATTGATAGGAAACCATTAATAGATTTTGTTTTGAAAACTCGGTTATCTAGCAATGCTAAAATGCGACTGAACCCGATTTATACTGATGTTAAGTCTCTCTTATCAGATGCGTACCCATTTGCTCACTAGAAAATCTGATACAGCGTAGCAATCTCGCCTGCAAAATGTTAGACAGGGAAATAAGTCAATTAATGCTTTCGCAGCTGAGATTGAGCAATTATTTGTTGACTTGACGACATCTCAGGCTAACGGTAACGCATATAAAATTTTACGTCCTATAAATGAGAAGAACGCTATAAAACGGTTTGCAGACGGATTACAAAGTACAGTGATAAGTGCGAGAAATTTTTCCAGTTTAAAGGATGCTAAGGAGGATAAGGTCAGCTGAAGATGAGTCTTCTATTTCTGAACCTCAGGTTATGTCTTATAATAGTAGGTTTTTTTCTAGAGTTTTTTAACATAGAAATTCAAGGAATAATTTTCCTAGAGGCAATCATAGTAAAATTTCAACCAATTTCGCAATACTCAGTACAATAAATTTGCAAAACATAGGTCGGGTCAGCAGCGGGCAGTGAACCGCGGCCACGCGTCTTATTTCCGCGGTCAGCAGTTTCGCGGAGCGGCTAATTCTGTCCATCGCAGTAATCGTAATGCTATTAATAATTACACTGATAATAATATTCCATTTGAGAATAGCATGAATATTGAAACACCTGACGAATCATCAAGTAGTAAGTTTTTTCGTCAATGAACAAATATTGACGAGCGATAGTATTAATTATGTTAATTTAAGTTTAAATGGAAATAATTTAGAGTGGTTAATTAATACGGGGGCCTCCTTATCTGTAATAAAATATGAGTATTTAGTTATTATGGGTATTAGTTATCATAAAGATATCATTAAAGTTAACGGGATAAGCGGAAGCTTAAGTTCAGTAGGGTATGTTTACTTGGATTTAGAGTATAATAAGCAAATATTATCTAGTAAATTTTACGTTTTTAAGAATTTTCCTTGTAAGGCAATAGGTATTTTAGGTCAAGATTTTATTAAAGGATATCATGGTATTATCAACTATGAAAACGATACTTTGACTTTACATGGAAAGGATAGTGTATGTTTACCTCTACATTTTTATAATTATAGTTATTCATTTTCAATTGCAGCTAGAAGCGAAATTATAAAACATGTACCAGTAAAAGTAAATTACGACTGCCTTATATTGTCAAAAACTTTACAAAATGGGGTTTTCTTAGCTAACGTGGTAGCTAGGCCGAAAAATGGTAAAATACCAATAAAAACAGAAATTTGTCTAACCGTAATACAGCGGATACTTGGTGTGGGAAAACCTTGCTCTTCTGTCCCTACGGGCACTGACTTAAATGCTTTAAATAAGCATTTTCTCTTCCTCCAGTTAACATTAATTGTAGCGACAAGGCTGTTACTCTTAAGGAACTGTCTGAACTTACTAGACCCAACTGTCCTCTATTCAACTTCTTGACAGTTTCTGAGAATGATGTCAAAGATTCTCTATTATCTATATCTTCCGAGTCCGTTGGCGATGATAATTTCTGCTCGAGAATGCTTATTCCTATTTTACCTATTCCTCAAATTTGGAAAAAGGCTCACATAATTCCTTTACCAAAGATCCCTAATTCTTCATTACCTTGTCACTTTCGTCCTATTTCTATTTTACCTTTTCTTTCCAAAGTTCTCGAGCACATAGTTCACAAGCAAGTTTCTCATTTTCTTCTTTCGAATAATCTCTTAAACAGCTTTCAATCCGGGTTTCGGTCGGGTCACAGCACGGTCTGTGCCTTAGTGAATGTCACTGATGATATACGCTGGGCAATGGAAAACAAAGCGTTAACTGTCCTAGTATTGCTAGACTTTAGCAATGCATTTAATTCCGTCGATTTTGATATTCTCCTTGCCATTTTTCGTTCCTTAAATGTCTCCACTCTTTACTAATATCACGCTCTTTCTTGGTTCGAATCATATCTTCGGGGTCGCTCGCAGTGTGTTGTCGTGGTACACGATTTTTCTTTGACGACATGACGTCACAGACCGGCGATCACGCAAATAATGTCAACAATAGGTACATAACTTATGAAATAATAGGTAGCACAATTTAACAACCATTAATTACGATCGAACATACATCCTTGATTATGTTTCATCTACTAATTCATTCCTGGAATCATTGCTGTGTCTGAAAACACGATCATAAATAATATTTCATTGTAAAAAGTGTTTATCGTAATCTATATATATAAAAATGAAACCCGTTTTCCGTTGTCACGACATAACATGAAAACGGCTTGACCGATTTGGCTGTTTTTTTTTTTGTAGTTTTCTAATACTCTGTACAAGGTTCTTACGGAAAAAAATATAAAGAAAATCCCAAGGGGATAAAATAAGGAATGAAAGTTTGTATGAAACGAGACTTTGCATGCAGGTATAAGAAGAATCATAGATGAATGTCATTGTGTATAATACAAGCCTGAGAACAAAAACTGTAGTCTACACTTCAGCTCTACACCGAAGCGAAGCGAGGGCGGGCCGCTAGTATCTTTATAAATACCGAACCAAATTACGATTTAATGGTATCATTGCATTCAGAAAATTATTCTCATTCCATTTCACGGCTTGTTTTCAATAAATATGAAAATCACATTTTCAATAAAAAAAACATAACCAAACGTCAAGTGACGTATGCGCCTACGCGCTCGAGAAACCTTTATCGATGCAATTGGCATCACACCGTGATTGCTCATTGATTATTAAACATAAAATTATCAATTATGGATGTTTTTGTTTAACAAACAAAGTACTCCTTTTGGGTAAATAAATTAGAATTTATAACGGGACATTTGTAAAAGTTTGATTTCGGATTTGACTTATCCATCGATAAATCGATGTTTGCGTGATCCCTCGCTGTTGCACTACTGTCCTACTTCAGCGTCGGACAGTCGCCCGCAGAGATTCCTACGGGAAGGCTGTGTCGCTCGTCGCCCAAATCAGTCCGCGGTATAGAACATTCTAGTGGCACCATGTTTGGTCGACCGATTACCGAACCTGGGGGTTGAAAATGGCACTCCGCCATGCCCTTAGTTTCATAGTGTTTTTATGGCCTTCTGCCCTTACAATATATCATGTTATAAGGTTATAAGTAATAAAACATAATCTCGCGGCCGCTGCGTGCGTGGTGTGATATTTGATCACCCACGCTCTCCGACTCTTCGGGTCCCCGGCTTCACTGGTGTGCTCAAATGCCTGTGAGCTCCCTCCGCCTGTGTGCTTCCTGCTAAGGACTGCGGCGCCAGCCCGCAGACCCCTATCATCAGGGTGCAGCATGCGGTGACGTCAGGGATTGACGTCCTGAGGCATCACCGCCATCGTCGCTTCGTTCAATGAGGGAACGTGGTATCACCAGTGATGTGAGTCGAACAGTGAGCTCACGAGGTTTTTCCCCTTTTCTTTTTTTCACGAGTGCGCACGCGACTTTTCGTCGCCACGTGTCCCATCTGGACTTTAATGACTTTTCGGGTCGACAGATTATTACATAGCATCATTGTTATTATACTCTAAGAACCATTGTTCCGCTGCGGGCCGCCGCCATGTAACTCGCGAGATTATAATGATATAAATTGCATGTACCAAAACCGCCATCTTTGATTTGTTCTCCCATGCTACGGCCTTTGTACTTCAATAGTTCATTGCTGTAACCGAGAGTTTTATCCCGGTACCTTATCAGCTGGGTATTAGCTAAAATAACACTTGCTCGTATGTAAGGAGGTTCCGTACCATTAAATAGTAAAAAAAGTAAAAGTAAAATATTTCCATTCCATTTATTTTTCCATTTGCAAATCACATTCCTTCTTTTTTACATACAACGTACTGAACCAATTATAAATACGACACCTTTCCCCTTTTACATACGACAGTGTTCGCCTTGATGATTCGACCTCAGATGGGTGTGACCTCTGTGTCGGCGTACTTCAAGGAGGTGTTCTCTCACCAATCCCATTCTCCACTTTCATTAACTCTGTTACTAGAGTAATTTTCTC